TAACTAATCATTGCTGTGGTGTGAATCCCTGCTAACCGCAGTTTTGTTTTTGTTTTGTTTTTCTCTTTCATATATTGAATGTGTCTGTAAGGAATTTTTTTGTTGATATTGGCAAGTATTCAAGTACTGTACTTAATGTACAATTTTAAGGTACTTTACTTGAGTATTTCCATTATATGCCTCCTCCATACTTCTAATCCACTACATATTAGAGGGAAATGTTACAGACACAATTACTTTCTGACAAAAATTCTCACTGTAAAATGTGATCGACACACAGACTGAACCAGTGTACACACATCTTTCTGGGTTGTGACCTGACCCCTCGTCACATGTCAGGTGTCTATGAGTTGTTAGTTTCTCCACTACAGAGACATTGCAATGCTAAACTTCTCAGTTGGTTTCATTTGAAGAACTCTGAGGCTCAAAAAGCTCAAACTCTCCAATGTATTACAAAAAGAAAAGATGAAAAAGTGAAAAATCATTTCGTGACCCCTCAGTTTCATCATGTGAAACCTCTGGAGACTGGCAACCACTGGATTAAAGCTGTATATAAAACTAGCTCCACTTTGACCAGCTACAGCACCAACATACTTTTTGATGCATGAACATTAATTATGCAATATATAATATTATATCTGTCAGGCTGATTTTCTGCAAAAATAAGCACTTTTACTTTTAATCCTTTAATTGACTTGATAATGCTTTTGTACTTTTACCTACACAGGATTTCAAATACAGGACTTTTAAGTGTAATGGAATATCTTTACACTGTGCTGTTGGTACTTCTACTTAAGTAAAGGATTTGAGTACGTCTTCCACTGCTGCTCAAGTCTCATCAAAAGTCAAAACACAACCAACTACAAATTTGTCTTCACAGCAAAGAACAAACCAAACAAATTGTTGATCTGCTCTAAAATATCTTTCATGACTTGAATCTCAAAATAAAAGAATCACATTTAGGGATTCATTCTAAATCAGACGGAGAAGGGGGGGAGTCACAGTCGAGCCTCTCACACTCTGCAGGGCATCGGGCACAAAGATTATTTTAAAGATGCAGAACTGTGCATAATGTATAACTAAGCTCACTGAAAAGCTGAGGAAGAGAAGGAGAGGGTCTGTCACTCTCACTCTGACATTATTTGCACCATAATAAATCTCTAAATTATGCAAAAGCATGCATGCTCACATGTGCACGCACAGACACACACCGACAAAGGCAGCCATCCATGGATGTGCGCCAAGTCAGAAAAGTCAGGCAGACTTGAGAGAGAGAGAGAGAGAGAGAGAGAGAGATTTTTTTATTTAGTTTTTCAGTGAATTTATTTATGGGAGGGTTGTTTTGATGGGGTTTGGGTTTTGCCTCTCTTAAGGGTTGCTGGGCACAAGGTTGCATTCTGGTTTATTTACATTTTGCTGGTCTTGTAGAGAAGAGGAGAGGAGAGGAGGACAGAGGAGAGGAGAAACAAGTGGAGAGATAAGAGAAGGAGAGGAGGTGAGGGAAGGTGAAACGGGCAAGTCGGGCGAGAGAAAAGCATGGAGCGGGAGCGAAGGAGGTGAAAAGAAGAGAAAAGGCAGGAAAGGAAAAGAGGAAGATGCTGAGAGAGATGGGCTGAGAAGGAAGTAGGAGATGTGGAAAGCGATAGAGGAGATGAGCAGATCAGAAAGGACAGTGCAGAGGAAGAGTTAGAGCAATAAATCAATACAGCCTAGTTTAGAATAAATACTAGAGGCAGGAGGAAACAGCTAACATAGACGGCTGTGTCCAAAGTACAAAAACACACCTACCATCACCTCTGAAACTCATGAGTGTGAAAAGGTTTGTGCTTGTCTGAGAAGTTGCACGTAGGAGCTACTTCTTGAAGCAATGAATGTGGCTCAACAGTGACTACCAGCAGCAGAGTCGCTCGCTGTTTCCCTCTCTTTCCAGTCTTTATGCTATGCTATAAATATTCAGAAAAGAAAAAAGAAGATACATTTTCTTCACATTAAAGTTAAATTTAATAGTTAAGTAGTGTTTCTTTTCAATGAATGAATTCACCCTTCCTCAATGCTAAAATAATAAAATAATTTAAAACTTTAAAAATAATTATTATGGTTTTCAAATGCAGAGGCTTTTCACTATACCAAGAGAAAAAAAAAAAAGTTGGAAAAGCGGAGTACTTGTCGTGTTACGTCAGCACAAAGCAGGGCTGGCTATTAACCTTCAATATACGGTACAAACATGAGATATCAGGCTCCAGAAAGCCTTCGCTGGAAAAGAGACGTGAAACGAAAGTGGGAGAGAGAAGAGGGGAAAAGAAAGAGCGGGTACTAAAAGAGGAGATACAGAAGGGAATGAAGAGGCAAGACATGGGCAAGGAGGAGGGAATTAGAGGGAAAGGAGGATGGGAAAAGAAAAGAGAGGGGAGAAGAAGGCAGAGGAGAGTGAGGAGGTAAGATGAGGAATTTGAAGTGTTGAGTAGACGACAAGTTGTTGAGGAGCAATATCAGGCATGAATGCTTTTTTAAGACAAAGGGACTGCACGAATCAGAGCGTTGCGGCAAATAAGAATTGCTCATTCAGTACACACATACACAATCCTTTATATCATTGAAGGTATGAATATCAATGTCTCTGTCGACCTCTGGGTTTAAAGCGGGCTTTATGTGGAACAGATCTGTTGTTTGTGTTGCCGACACTCCATTTGTTGTTGCATTAGATATAAATCTCTAAAGATTTGCCCTTTTATTGCATCTTAGTGGTAATGCAACGTAACCACTGTGTCTCAAAGTCCCGATCTCATGCTTTGTTTGAACTGAAACACACTGGAAACCCTCGTGTTTTTTCTCCCAGTTGTTCACAACTCCCAGAGTTGAGCAATTTGTTTCTCCTGGTGTCATAGAGGTGTCTGGATTTTCTTTTTAGGTTTCTCAGCAAGAGCCGGGGGATCGCTGCTTGGTCTGTTTTGTGTGTGTGTGTGTGTGTGTGTGTGTGTGTGTGTGTGTGTGTGTGTGTGTGTGTGTTTAGGGCAATTATGATACGCACCCTGGCAAACACAGGCCCGAGAGCCCTGTATGAACGACCACAGAGTGTAAATAGAAGTCTAATGAGCATATTTAATAGGTGGTTTTAGCAACTAAGAGGTAGGTTTGTATTTATCTTACTCTAATATATCTAGGTTCAAACTATTTTCACACGTTGAAAGAGTTATTGGTCGTTGCAATTATTCCTCCTGCGTGTAGTAACTGTGAAATGATCCTCTCACAGTGCAGATACACTGTTAAATATTGGTTTCAGACCAAAAGAGCAAGAGCAAATAGTTTCTGCAAGGTAGAGCGCAAAATGAAGAGCAGCATGTAATCCCACAAAGCAGCTAATTAGGATGCTACAGACTTACTACAGAGCGTAAACAATCACAACATTAATTTTCTAACCTCGTATCCTCGTCCTGTCTGATTTGTTCTGCAGTGCTTGAGATTCTTCATTCAAGTCTCAGTAGAAGTGGAGAATAGAATTACATAACTTTGGGACATTAGAGGAACAAAATGAACTTTTACCACCATTTTCTCTACAGGGTGAACATTGTGGAGGCTCAGAGGTTAATTAATTGAACCTGGTGGAAAATCAGTATAGCGCTCATTGCTATGACTCCCACAGCTGACTGAGCGACTGCAGCCGCTCTCCTCGTGGCCTTGGTCTTCACAGAATCAAACTTTAGTCGGGAAAGTGCTGAAAGATGGCCTGCAAAATCCATAGTCACTGTTAAATGCAAAAATCTCTTTCAAAGATCAGTTGATAAGAGGCTTCAGCCGCCTGGGTTAAACAAATTAAGTGGGTATCAGTTCTGGTAGTCAGCTGTAGTTGCTGGTGTTTTGTGATAGGAGGAAGTGTTGTAGTAAAAAGTCTTTGGAAGATTCCCACTTAAAGCTAAGTGCACTGGTTCAGACGTTGAGTGAATATTAAACCTTAATCTCATCGTCTCTGCATCTTGATATTCTGGTGGTGTTTTTCTGTGCTGTAAGGGTTAATCAATTGGTGAACTGACAACAGCATTTATTCAACAACTTTTTTTCTTATTTATATATATGATTGTATATTATTCTTTTTTATATATAAACAACCAAAACGTGCTGGTTTTTGGACTATTGTTTTTTTAAAAAACAATCAAATTGAAGGTGTTACCTTTGGAGCTGAAACTAGTGGATTAATTGACAATTATTGACAGTTATCTTGATAATCTATTCATTCAATCTATTCTATTCTCTGGTTTGAGCCTCTAAATTATGACAAGCTGCTGCGTTTTGGACCGTTGGTTTTTTATCTGCTATTTTCTGGCATTTTAGTACGGTGGCCTTGAGATCTCAACGCAAATAACATGCTGCAAATTCAGAAAACATCATCAATTTGACAATACATGCGACGGAAGTGTTTCCAGGGGACACTAAAAAGTGATGAACCTGGCTGAGACTTGTTGTTCAATACCCTTTTGGTACTTTTGAAGTTAAAAGCATTGAATAACAAGCGGGGTTCATCACTTTTTTTTTATTATTTTGTGCCTTAATTCCAATAGCGAGAGTGAGAGTGTGATTATTTGCAGCACATGTGTTGTCAAATTGATGATGCTTTCTGAGTTTGCAGTGCGTTTGTGTATTTGCATGTGTTTTCTTAAGTTCCAGTACGTCGAGCTCTCAGTATCACCGTATTTTAGAGACCAAACAATTGTTTAATTCATCAAAAATACAACGTCACGTCAGTAGATTAATAAGCAGATTAATAGATAATGAAAATATTTCATAAAATAACTGACCCACAATGTAATAAATAGTTGCATCATTTCTACTGCATTTCTCCATGGATCCTCAAGGTGTACTCCCACTCCCTCTCTTCCTTCTCACTTTGTTTGTTTGTTGTTTTTTTTCTCTTATCATCCACCTCTCTTCTTTGTCGTCTCCCTCTTTGTCTTTGTGTTTGTTTCCCTTTCGCTCTCTAATAGATATTGTATCTGTATGTCTTGCAGGATCACTCTGAGTGGGATGAAGGTGTCCAGGCCGGACATTCGCATCGGCCGCTACAGAATGATTAAACACGAGAGAGACAAACACAACGAGGCCAACCCACAGAGGTACTGCATCATTGTCCAAACTCGTTTTCCAGCTTTACATTCGGATCGATCGCGCTTCTTTTGTTTTCCACGGCTACACACTCCACACACTTCTTTCCAACTTTTTCATCTCCATTTGAGAGAATTATGATTGTGGTGCTGCAGAGGGCACACTATCAATAACATGCTCCTATAATTGGTGTTAGCTACCGAGCAATATACCGCTCAGATACATGAGCAACACAGACAATATAAGGCCAGCTGTGAGACATGATAACAGTCTGTCATGACTCCTCTCTTCATTGTCGTCCACATTATTTGATTTCGTTCTGTCCAGTTTTGCAGGATTGACATGCTAAAGATAATTTAACCTTTTAAGCAGAGACGGTTAGATAATAAGTCTTTCCCTTTTTTCTTTTGCCCTTTTTCTTGTTTCACACTCACATTGTGTACATTCACGCCTGAGAGCTGCCTACTGTTTGTACAGCACTCATGCTGCTGCCTACTGAGCAACTCCTCAGAAGACCTCCTCATTTTTATTGCCTACTCCTGATCTTCGCATTTTAACAAAAAAATTCCCTGAAAAATTAGTGTTAGTGTGAGTGATATTGAGGGACAGTAAAATTAGACATTAAGCATTTTCATTTACCAGCAATCTCTTGCCAGGATTTTAAAAAAGATTTTGAGTCGAATTTCATCTTATTCGCCCCTAGACATCACACATCTCTGAAATTACCAAACAAGACTATTTCCCAACAAGAAAATGCTATGTCTTCGGTCTGAATTTCTGTTTGTTCTGGTGGAAAAAATACTAAATCTTTTTATATTTAACTTTTGTTGGCCTGAAATTGTAAAAATGTAAGAAAAAAGGAAAAGAAAAAATGTTGAATTAACCTCGAAACCAGCCATAATTTGTATGTTTATCTATTTATTCTGAATTTATATTCTAAAGAATATAAATTCCCCAGATGGTTCACAGAAAATACTGAGACCATGACCTCAGTGTCCTCAACTGCTACATATCTCTACAACCTCAAAATGGAGAAAATGGCAGCGTGATGCTGGTAAAAAAGAAACAATAAAACTGGATTTAAGCCAGACATTTTTTAATGCATGAGCACTTGCACTTACAGAGAAATTCCTCCTGTTGCTGATAAAACACTTCACTCATAACTGGATGCTAAAAGATTAATGCATGAGACACGAGGACATGCTGAATAAATAACACACACGGATTTCAAAGATTTCTGGTCCTTCGAATTCGAATTCTGCTAATAGATGCAAGTTGCATAAATACTGAAACTACCGAATACATAATCCTCGTTTGCCGTAAAGTCAGTGCAGTGTTGCAGAACACTGACAGATTAGATTGGGCCTTCATATGTACAAGTATCAAATGACTAAGCAAAATAAAAAAAGAAAACAGTCCTCTTAAGACCACAGATTGGCCTTTCTGGTCACTGACAGATTGGAAGATTTTAAAATGCCAAGTCGGAAACATTTTTAATAAAACAAAAATTGCTTTCCAGAGTTACAGCCCGGGGGTTTAAATGTTGCGTTTTTGGCTACACCCATTTAAATTGCTTTTTAGACAAATGTGTAAAAATGCTTCCCATATAAATGTGTTATTTAATGGTTTGATGAATGAGACCCAATATGCAGAGATGAGCCCTTCTAGACACATTAATCACCAGGAGTATAGCACCTCACATTAAGCTGCTTAAATGTGGATTATCACTGTTTATTCTCCTCTAAGAGCCCCCGTTTTCATGCCTGGATAGGCTGGGCAGTGATGCCTCTCAACACAAAAATCGATAGCTGCTGGAGCTGGGGCAGAATGAAGATATAGTGAACTCTCTCCCCTCTTCCAATATTATTTTAGTTTGATTTCTTGTTACATTATTCCATCACAGGATTTTGACAGGACTGTACTGCCACATGGTTCACAGTGAGTTTAGTTTAGTTGTGGCTCCTAAATTGGTTTATAAGAAGATTAAAAATTGTTGGCAACGAGAGTCATGTGGGGAAGAGGAGTGACAGTTTTTTTTTGCAGCAGTTAATGTTCATCCAGCCAGAAAAAAAAATTGTGACATGTTTGATTTGAACTTTTTATACAGCCTCTGAACCCTGCATCTGATACAATTTTATTACCTTACCGGGTATTGACACTGAGATCCAGATCTCTTTTGTAAGAGAGATTTTAGGTCAGCAAAGAAATTAAGAGCAAGGAAACATTTAGGAACAAACACGGACAAAAAACTGAAAAAAGAAAAAAAAATGCAGTTTTTAGGAACCTCTAAAAACATTTATTTATTTATTTTCATGTGTTATTAAGCTTGTGAAGAGTTGGTTCAAATTGTTGCTGAACCAGTCTTTGAAAAAATAAATTACCTCTATTTCACACCATCAATATTTATTTTGTATCATCTTACCCCTGTCAGGTTTTAAAAACGACCAAATCAGTGCTAATGGCTTTACTTATTGGTTCATATACCTTTGTATACAGTCATTGATCTGTCTGTGATCCCTTGTAGAAGTTAATTCAGTCAGTGCTATACATGTAACTGTGCTGACAGTGTATCATTCAGCAGAACATTTATGACTTAAAGAGCTTAATCCTGATGTTTTCATCACTGACAAAAGAAATTGGAGTTATTTTATGTTTGTGATATGATGTAACACCTTCACAGGCATCTCATTGCTTTGCTTCACATGGAGGCATTTAACTAGCGTTGCTAACAAATCCTGTAGTAAGGCACTAATATAGTTGGATCAAAATGTACTGATTACCTTGAAGAGAAAAACAACCCTTCACCTCCTGGGTTGATATTTAGCCTACATAAATTCTTTTAATTGATTTGAAGGATGGCTCCTTATCAACCACACAACAACCACCTGCAGAGTTTCTCAGAGAAACTTGTTGGTAGAAGAAGGACCATATCCATATATGATATAATATCACACTTTCACAGGCAGGTCTTTGATTTACTACAAGACTATTTTACTACTTACTTTACTACGAGACTTATTCATCTGAGAAAGTGATTGGAACAAAACATGTTGACTAGCTTGAAGAGATAAAACCATACTCACCTGCTGGCCCCATATTTATAAACCTTATTGGCATTTTATGGATTTTATATTGCTCTCTTTTTTTTTGCTTGTATTATCCCCTTCTGCATGCTAACAGTTAGGTCTCACCACACGGTCTTGCCAACACCCCCAGGCAGTTATTTTGGGCTAACAAGACCAAGCTCCTCTTCTAATTGAATTGGGGACAAAGCCATAACTACACTTTCAATGGTAAAATAAATAGGACTGCATTTATAGAAATACTCGTCAAATCTGATAAAAACCACTTTGGTGACATTGCCCCAAAATAAGGTTTAAAACGCTTTTCTTTAAGTGTCTCTCTCTTATTACGCCTCTGATAAAACCCACCTCTGATACTGGGAGGACTTCAAATTAGCCAAGGCTGTGACATCAACTGAAAAGAAATGACAAAGACATTTTTTTTCTACCTGTGTCAAGGAACCTGCTGAAACAAGTGAAATGTCAGACTTCCATCTAGAAGTGGTTTAACTCTAAAACTAACAATATCTATACTGTAAAATGGCAGGCGAAAACTCAAATGTGAAGATGTCTGAAATAACCAGGCTTGTATAATATGTCATCCATCATTGTTTTGCAAGTGTGTGAGTGTGTGTGTCAGAGAGAGAAAGAAAGATTCAACGATCCCTCAGTAATTGCTTGCTGAAATGACACCAATAGAGATGAGAGCAAGCTAGGTCAGACAAGTCTAGTTGCTTTCATCAAAGTCAATAAATCAGCCACTAGACTGAAAGAGTGTGTGTGTGTGTGTGTGTGTGTGTGTGTGTGTGTGTGTGTGTGTGTGTCTGCTTGATAATCTATTCCCGTTTTCCTCCTCCTCTCGCTCGTTGCTCTGCACTCCCTCTCTGGTCAGTGGACCAGACTTCCTCAATATGAGGTGACACCAACAGGGACGCTATTTATTTGGATCCGATACATTATTCATAACTGTAGCAAGGGGCAGAAAACAGCGGGCCTATTACTTGGCACAAACTTCATTTTTACAGCCCTTCTGGACATTCATTATACTGTCTCGGAAATTTCGGATTAAAGGATATTTTGAAAATAAGTGGGATTTAGGCTTGAATAAAGCATGGTGGCTCAGAAGAGTCAGGACGTTTTGAAAGGAAGAATGACTACCTCATGGCAGTATTCAGGTTTTTTTTTTTTTACATTACTCTCGCTCTATCTCTCTTTGGATCTGAAATTTAATTCATCACTTTTCATCACTTTTTCACTGCGTGAAGGAAATTTTACATTTATCTCAGTGCAGTTTTGAGGGCTTTTTGATTTATCTTCAAGAGAGTGTTAAACCCTTAGTCTATCAAGTCATCCAATATTTTCTGTGATTGAGTAACTCATAAGTCAAAATGGGGGAAAATTAAGTGGTAAGGCGTGGAGTTGTTTGGTTACCAGAGTAACCCCGGTTCTCTGGGAACTGAGTGAGCTATCGATCAATCTAGCATCTGCATTTGAACATGCTCACAAAGACAGTTCTAAAATGCTGATGTTTAGCAGGAATAATATTTACTACTTTCATCATCGTAGTTAAGTGCCTTAGCATAGGAACTTGAATTAGCACTAAACACAAAGTAAAGCCAAATGTCATTAGTTTTGCAGGTATTTAGTCATTAGCCAAAGTATAGGACAAATTAAAAATTTGACCTGATGATAGCACTAGATTAAAAGTTAAGGGATCATCAGAGTTATTACAGTTCATCCTCTGGGGGACAAGAATTAATGTATTTTGTGGCATTCCACCTAATACTGTAGTTGTTCGGATATTTTACTCAAACACATAAATCTGAACCACATGTTGGCGCTAAAGATAAAAGCCTGAAAATCACCAAAGTGAGTAGGATTCATCCTCTGGGGATCATGAACATCTGTACAGTAAAATATGGAAATCCATCAGATAGTTGTTAAGATACATGTATTTCAGTCTGGACCTCAGTGGTGAACCGACGGACAGACTGAATGCCACCCCACCCCACACCACTAGTGTAGCTCCAAAAAAAGAACCAACAGAAAGACGTTTGAAAGTTGTATTGCTGAGTATGAAAGAGAAAGGGTGTTTAGATCTCTTCCAGGACTTTTTGAGCTTTTGTTAGAATTGCCAGATATCTCACAAGTTGGATTTCCAACAAGAAAAACACTTTTTATCTCGTTCTCTTCCATGAGGAGCTTTAGGTGAGAAGCTTGAGAAGGTCTGTGTTTTGCCAGAATAAGGCTATATGATATATTGTCCTTTGAGATGATCACTGTGTCAGATTAGACTGTCACAGAGTCATAAATTCTTGCTGTCATTTGGTCAAGAAACATTGCTTTACGATGCACTCTGACCAATCATAGCCTACTGTTCCACATCAGAGTACTGACAACCAATGTTTACATATGACATCACAGTTTTATAAATGAAAATGACCTTGGAAACATTCATCGTCACACTCACATCTGCAGCAACAACCTACCACATCAGTTTCTCTTAAAAACCCTGTAATCACAGAGGTCTGTCACTCAATTACATAGATAAACTGAGCTTCTGTTTCCGCTCTTTGTCTTCAGGTGCAGAGTTGCCTTTCTGTTTCGATTCAGATTAATGATTGAGCCTTTTGGGAGAGTTTTTCTGGTGTACCTGCGTAATGTCCAGCGTTTATCAAGGGGAGCATTGTCTCGACTGTTTGATGAATGTTTACCATCTCCCCTGCATTCACACACACACACACACACACACACACACACACACACACACACATAAACACTCTTGAACACATATACATATACACATTCACTCAAATATGCACACTCTCTCACACAGGAGTCCATTCTCTCAGCCCTCTCGGAGATGCTGGTTAAGCATAGCAATGAGATATTGGGCCAGCGGAAGTAAGAAAGAGACACATTCATCACAGCCGCGGGTATCAGTTAGCGCACACACGCACAGACACACACACACACACACACACACACACACACATTCTGTCTAGCAAGCACAGCTTCGTGTATTGCAGATGAATGAGGTGCACAGTAATGCTGTTCAATATTCCATTCATATGTTATCATCTTGGGACAGTGCAGAAACAGAGTGTGTGTGTGTGTGTGTGTGTGTGTGTGTGTGTGTGTGTGTGTGTGAAGGACACTGGCTTCTGTAAAAGTTTCAAATTTGGGGAAATGCGCTTATTCGCTTTCTGCCCAAGAGTGGGATCGATGGCAAGAGAAGATTGATACCACACATATCCCTGTATGCTAAACATGAAGCCACAGCCAGGAGGAGACGCTTAGCTTAGCTTAGCTTAGCTTAGCATCAAGACTGGAAAGAGGGCGAAACAGCTAGCCCGGCTCTGTCCACCAGTTACAAAATCCTACCAGCATCTCTAAAGGGTTTAATTTCAAAATCCTACTTTTCCCTGCTCACTTTTATAGTGTCAGGTTGATGTTCTTACTGGAGTTTCTCTGAATGTTTCTCTCTTACTGATCACCCACTATATAAGATTCATGCCATCTATATTTTTATCTACAGTTAATATTGCTAAAATATGGCAGAGTTAAACAAAAGTTAAAAATACGATTGTTGAGCACACCGTATTAAGGTTCAACTTTTTTACAGCACAGAGGTTTACATGGCATTTTTCTTTTCTTATACAACCATTATTATAAAAAACATGCCACCCACCCCCGACCCAGTCGCTTCATATTTAGCATATAGACAATTTTCTCCTCTAACTCTTGGTAAGGAAGCCAATAAGCCAATAAGCAAAAAACAAATCCCCTGTGACATTTTCCTACAATAATATCAAGAGCAAAATAACCCTCAGTCGCTGGCATGACAAGCTGTTGTTGGGAAACTAAACCGGAAATGTTTTCCTGTGAGACCCTCAGTGGAATTAAAATAGAGCTTTGCTTAGCCCAGTTAGGATTCACTCTGGAAATAAGACTAATGCCCTCTAACTCTCTCAAATAAAAGTAAGATAAGTGAATCTAATTGGTTTGAAAAGATACTGCACATACAGCGCACATATTGAGTGTACATGCATTTGATATTCTCTATATGTGTGTGGGGAATAGTTTATTGCTTATAATCTCCGCTGTTTGATAGATTTCTAGTTTTTCCCTCAGTTCTCAATCACTTTATTTTTAATATCAGTATATCTTGCTCCCTCCATCTGTCACTCGCTTTCTCTGATATATATTTATCTCTCCTATCTATCCTACACCAACACCATCACACACACACACACCCCCCCCCCCCCCCCCCCCCCCCCCCTTCATCTAGCAGTCATTTCAGTTTAAACCGCCTGCTTTTTCTCCTATCTTTTCCCTTCCTTTCTTTGCACTCTCTTGTCTCTTAAACTAATTCCCTCTCCTTTTAGATAGTAGTACCACTCCTTGGTACGCATAATTCTATTTATATCTTATTGTATGATATTGTTCAAGGGAAAGATGCTTGACAACATTTTTCCAGCTTCCATTCATGCCGGTAAAGCTCCTTTTGATTTGATTTGAGAGTGACAGGAGGAGAAGGCGATGCTGAAAGAGGAGAGAGATGTTCACTAGTCAGTTCTGACAAGGATCTGTAGACTCACTGGTCCATGTCGGGCTGAGGTGTCAACTCCACTCGTACGTCCAAGCATATCATTAAGAAGACGTCTTTTTGTTGGAGTCAGTCACCGTTGTCTTTTGAAAAGTGGATGTGTACGGCCGGGCGTTAGACACTTGCACACTGTGGCCTCATTTCTATTCTGACTGCTACTACTACGAGGGTTACAGGAGGGTTTGTGTTATGAATCTGTTTTAATGCCTGAGGTTGCATCACACACTGAACTGAAGTGCGGCAGCAGCAGTTCCGTTTGTTATTGTCTGACACACTGTGTGAATTATTTTCCCCATCTTTAATACTAAAATCTTAGCAGATTCTGATGTAACTGCTGAAGCACAGCCAGTTGGGAAGGATACTCCAGCATAATTCAAACAAATCAAGGCGGATATGATGGATAATACCATTCACTGAGTCACAGTACAATGCCATAGCACCACCTGTTGGTCAAGATCAGCGTTGTAAAGGAAAATCGATACAGAGTACACTTCATTTTGAACAATCCAGCAGAGCGGTTTCTCTTTACATCCTGTTGGTTGAATGTGGATTTTAATGTTAGCATCTGTGCTCTAAATGGATGTTTGATGGTTGCATCTACAGCACTTTTATTTACAATATTCTGACTTCCCAATTGCTTTCTGTATTGATTTATTCTCAGGTTTTGCAATGTGTTTTTTTTTTTTTTCCCATAAAAGTCTCTTATGGAGTTGGACCTTGGGACCTATGATTAGGAACTCCATTTTCCATGTGTATCTGCAAGACAAAGCAAGTGTGTTTAGTTTTAATGTTTCCCAACCTTGGGACCCCCACAAAGGGCCACTAATAAATTACATTCAAGATACTTTATTTGTTCCACAAATAATTCACCTACACACATGAACACAATTCAAAAATACAAACATTAGAAAAAGTTAAAATACACAAGGATCTGCAGTAGGGCCCAGGTGATGGCCGAGGTTTAAAATTAAAAGTGTGTTTTTCGGTCTGTACTATACACAAGGCGAAGTGCCCAATTGTTGTGCTATAGCTGTTTGCAAGTGTAATGGCTTCTGGAATAAAACCAAACTTCCTTTTATTTGTTTTACTTGCAGGCAATTTAAAATGCTTTCCTGATGCCATTAGCTCAAAGTAATCATAGAGGATATTTGTGGGGTTGTTGATGACCTAATATTTCTTTTTGAGGACTTGTACAGTGTTAAGCTCTGGAAGGGATCTGTGTTGTGCCAATATAAATATTATATATAGTGTGGTTATCTTCTCTAGAGTAATAAAAGAACAATAGAGAACATTTTGATGATCTTTTTGTTTCCCTGTCTACAGTGCAGTCCTATACTTATCTGCATTTCCAGAAGCGTAATATATGCACACACAACAACCCAAACCACGTTCAAGCAATCAGACACAATTTTATGGAAATATGTTGAAATTATACCTTGAAGTTCCGGCACTATTGTTTCTTTTCATTTGAACTGAATTGAATCTAATTTTCTTCCTTGTCTCCCCTTTTCCCTCTCTCTCGCTCTCTCTCTGTCTTTCATTCAATAGATTCAATAAAATACAGAACACAAAGAACACGATGAAGAAGGATGGCATCAGCTTTCTGACCTACAGACTGGTTCAGGTCAAGAGGCACCCGCTGTACACAAATATCTCTGTGGAGATCGGCAAGCCACCCCCTCGGCCTGTTAAGGGTTAGAGAGAGACAGGGAGGAAGATTAGGGGGGTGATGCACATTGACTGGAGGGAAAGGATGGAAAGAGGAGAATTTAAATCAAGGACATGATGAAAAAACATATCCAGAGGAATTGGAGGGGTGAAGGGTAAAGTAGCCACAAGCACGTGGCAGTTTCTTCTTTCTCTCTCTTTTCCCCCCTCTCTCTTTTTTATTTTGAGATTTCAGCTTGCCATTTCTGTATCGAGGACTCAGGCTCTTCCCAACTTTTTTTCAAGCAGCCAGTGGCTTCACACCTCCTACCTTTACCAATCAGTGACTTCAGAATTAGAGTGTGGACCAAAGCTTGTGTATCAGTGGCTGAACGAAGGTTGGCGTCAAACTTGGAACTGAAGTTCTTGAGTCTTTTAATTAACAATCCTTTGTAAACTGGAGAGCATCCAATGGCATATCATATCACTGACAGGAAGTATTATTGAGTGCTTAAAAGATTAGACAATAATGTCCTGTCGCACTTTGGAACGTTTTCACGGCATATTCTGGGAATGATGGACAGCGTCCAGAGGGGTGTCGGGGTGATATAAACCAATGACTAGCCATGAGAAACATGGGCTGTTTACACGGATACTAAGACAGTGTGAGAGGATGATGGAGACAAGATGCGGTACCTGGTGGTTGGTAAATTAAGTATCAGGAAAATAACAAACCCGGTGGAGGGCAGGCCTTACAAAGGCCATCAAAGAATTCACTTCCTAAGCATTTATGATGATCGTCACCAGAGCGAGGATTGCAACTGGAGGCAAGCTGTTACGTTAAGATAACATAATGACATGCAGTGTTGATCCATGGGACTGTATCAGATGGTTTGCATATCAGAGATATCAGCCGGCGCTTATCTTGACATATGACGCTAATAGACGATTTAATATTGACTTTTTTCGTCAGGGAGTGACCTGTTTGGATCTAATTACTCAATCGAATCCTCCACTATCAATTAATGAATGTGTATTGTGCCTGCATCTACAGCAGAAGACTCAAAACAGTGCTGGGACACGCTGATAACACATGTTCGTCAGCAGCAACAAACACCTGAGAACTCTCTTTTTTGTTCTCTTTTTTGATATATAAAGTCAAACTTTGGAAACAGACAGTGACTTATTGGAAGTTTTGCAGCAAAGGTGAACACATTGATGATATGGAGCGTTTTCTCTTTTGCATAATGCAAGGTGATGGAACTACTTTGGGAATGCATTTTGAAATCAATTCTGGGAACTGAAGAAAACAGGGCAGATATAGTACAGTATATACACTGACAGCTCAGTTATGATTTTAACTCCTTGAGGAACATATTGGAGATTAGGTTTCCAGAAACTTTGTTTTTTTCACTCAACTTGAAGAAAGATGGAGGTTTATTGTGGTAATCTTCACTTGAAAGGCACGTTTTTGTCTCTACGAGAAGCCATTGGTTTTGAGGTACATGAATATTCCTTAAAGTACAAATTTAACTCAGTAGAAATATGCAATTCTTTTACCATATTTTCTGAACATGTATGGAGTGGAAACATCATAAATGAGCTGTCAGGATAGAGTCATGGCTCATGTTTTACAGGAGAAAAGCATTGTGGATACAAAAGCTGACTCCTGTAACTTTTACACCGGCTCCGCAGATGAGACTAGCTGCAATGTAATCAATTTTCAACGTCTCTTTTTTTTTTTTTTTTTTTTTTAGTCTACAATGTTTTTTTGTTGTTTTTTTTTTAAAGACTTCTTTTTCTTTTAATCTTCAAGAAAAAGAGCATCATATCTGGAAAGAGGAAATTATATGGTGATAGTTTTGTACTGGTGGGAATTGTGAATTTTAAAGCAGTAATGAGAACTTATCGTTTGAGCAGTTTGACTGACATCTCTCAGATTTTATCATCATCAGCTGTCAGTTCTGTATTGTAACCTATTTTATCACATTTTCAGTTTTCAGAAGTGATGGGCTAAACGAATCAAACTTTTAGGGTTACATTCTTTCTGTTGAAGTAATTGTTTTAATGACAATTGTCTTATTGATTTATAGGAGTTTCATATCTTTCCCTGTGTGACAGATGAACAAACAAAGTATAGTTTCATGATTTCGTCCATCAACGTATTGAAGCCTTTGACTGTTTTATGCTTTGGTACATTGCTTTTATCCCCTTGTTTTGTTTGTCCTCCCCTCTACTGTTGATGCTGTTACTGTTGACGCCTAAACACCAAACTGATGCCTTCAGAAGTTACGTAAAGGGGCAGGGAAGATAATTTTTTAGGTTAAAGGTCATTCTTTTTGGGGTATTCACTTATAGGAAAATGTTTGCTGTGTTTTAAGATTGTTAATAATGAAATGAATATATATTGGTTGGGTTTAAAAAACGGGGGAAAAAAACATTTATATGGAAGATAGGATTGAATCTCTCTTCAGCACATACATGCATTCACACTGTCTTCCCTCTTTTCTTTGCATTATCTCCTCTTTCATTGCCTTTTCTTTCTTCATCTGCCAGTCCAGGCTGTATGTGTCAAGGCACACTGTTGTGCTTTGCGGTGGTCCCACTCCAGGCACAGCTGTGTCTCACAAGAGTGCTTCTTCTTTCAATAGATATCGATGGGGCCTCTCTGTGTGTGTCCCTGAATCTGTGCCACTTCTTTATTATCTTTATTTTTCTGTGTATTCTCTCCTTCTCAGTACTTATCCCCCAATCCCCCACCCCCCACCCCCCACTTTTCTGTATTTCGATCTATTTTCTTTTTCTTTTTTCTTTGTCAGAGTGCAGTACTCTCCTGGTGAGTTTCAGTGTCCTTGGTAGTCAAGGCTACACATGGAGAGGTCAATACAATCCCTTCTCTACACTGTTTACAGCTCACCTTGTGCAATATTACAAATTCAGTCACCTCTACCCCATATCCTGCTTTAAAGTCATTGTTTTTCAGTGGGATAAGAGATAAGATTTTTTCATGGGTTCGGTTTCAATTTGGCTTGTAATCCAGTCATAATTTTTCAGCTTTATGTCCAAACAGATTTCTTCATCTTTTGCCTCTAATTCACCTGTTGATTTTAAATCCTCATAATCTGTACACAACAGATAGAGTCACAGCTGTTGCTTTGATATTCCCATTCTCACAGGGTTAAAGGGGCACTCCAGTAATGTTTTACTTCCATAAAGCCTGGTGACGTTTGAGAGACAGATCTTTAAAAACGATGGTCTAAAGGAGCTACAGAGGAGGCAGAGGAGCTACTCTGGGCATCCCTGGTTCCATTCATTCATTTTTCCCATACACAATGTTACATGAGTCACACTTGGAGAGTTTCTTAAGTTTACAATGCTAAACCGTCAGTACAAATGATTAACAACTGTGTTAGAAAATATCTGGTTCTTTGATAAAATTTTGAAACTACCAGTCTGTTGGTGGAAAAGAAAAATTCAATCACCTGTCCTCAAATTTTGTTACGCGCACTGCTAATAGTGAAAACTGCAAATTGCACTGTTGAGAAGGCTGATTGTACCATCAACAGCTTAAATGAATTCACAGTCAGTCAGTCACAATCAGTTGTAGGTGAATTTGCCAACAATGGCACCGCGTTCTGTTACCAACAAATCATTTTAAATTTGCTACTGCTCAGATTTTGCAGATCTGACTGGCCATAACGTAAAGCTATATGATTGTGGTCTTATCCAGGAGAGTCCTGTGTTTCCATGTTACGTAACATTTAGGATATGATTAGAAGAAATAACTTCCCACGTCACAACTCCTAAATACCCACTTCTTTCAATCCCCACACCTCCACTTTGTAACAGAGGCTTTTTGTCTCAAGGGTCTCAAGCCCAAGCGGAGATGACCCTTTTGGCACCATCATAGTTATTTTTTCAGACTTTGGAAAGCTCCTCCAGACCAGGACATTATACAGCTGTTTTCACAGGCGAAGTAGTGACAAATTAACTGAACTTTATGTGCAAAATCGGTGGAGTGTCCTTCTCTTCATCAAGGCTACTCTGATAAATTACTGGAAACCCTTTATGAGGTCAGTTACATGAAGAAAGTATAAGCTGAGCAGTGACATTTAATGGAAAAAAATGACGGATGTAGCAAGAGAGACGTGGCCCAGTGTGTATAAACAGTAACATGGGTTTCGGATCAGCAACAGAAACTAAAGCAAAAATAGTATTTGAAATGTTTCCTGTACTTGAGAATAAGAACAACCATGAGGAGTGCTTGATGTTTCTTAATGGACTTTTGACTTTTGAAGCTGTTCCAGTTGTCAAGCATACCTCAGGTGTTTCAGTATTCGAGAGGCTTTTTCAAATACATTTTTTTGCTTGCCTGCTGCAGTCAGGACTTTCAGGCCTGGGGGCATTTTTAAAAATTTACTGTATCTCTAGCTATGGGTCTTTTTGTACATTGAATGTTGAAAATGTTATATCTTATATAGAATGCATTATGTCATATCAAACCTACTTTTTCTATACAATCAATAAATCTGATGTTAAAGATTGTCTGTTTGTGCTGTCAGTTTCTTTTTAATGTGTGTGCGTGTGTGTGTGTGTGTGTGTGTGTGTGTGTGTGTGTGTGTGTGTGTGTGTGTGTGTGTGTCTTTTACTGTGCTTGTTTCTTTTTTCCTCAGGTTACTGGAGAATACAGTCAAACTCAGACTGGTGCATGAATAGCAACGTCATTAAAAATTTGATTCCACCTGCAGACTAACGTAATCCCAGAGCTGTAAAATTGGCAGTTTTTGGCAACCCAGTCTCCTGTTGCCATGACAACCTCCATGAACTCCATGTTACTGTTGTTTGTGTGTGGTAAAATGCTATACCACATAGCGGATTACATATGTCTTGACTTCTGTAGTCTTTTATTTTCTCTTTTCTCTTCCATCCAATATTATAAACGCATCTTTAAAGCTACACAGTAAAGCTATCTGCCTGCCTCTCTTTTACTTTTTACTTCTTTTCATACTCTTTTATTGTTTGCAGGGAGCTCTGGTCCTAAACTGTCAGCACTGACAAGCTCTGCAGGGAAATCAGCATCGTATCCTCTCGAACAGAAGCCAAACTGTTCACAGAACAGCTGATTGTTCTTGTAAAGTAGAAATAACCAACTAAAAAGAAAACACAAAGCGAGAGATAATTAATGGGCATGAAAAGGTATTTTAATTTGGAATATTTTACAAAGATGTTTTTGAGAGCCAGTATATTACCAGCACGACACATTACATAATGTGGGCGTGCGGTTCATATCAGTTCCCTTTGGTTTCAGACAGTAAATTGAAACTGCACTCAAAGGAAAAGTTCAACATCATGGGAAATATACGTGTTCACTTTCTTACCAGCAGTTAGATGAGAGTTAGTTAGCTCACCCTCAGCATGAAAGCAGATAAGCGTATTTTCCAAGAAGTCAGACTATTCCTGTAACTGTGGTTCTCTATGATAATTCATGAATTAACATGATAGCTGTGGAAGAGCAGCTCTCAAATCTGACTCAGTCTCATTTTTACACAGTTTGGACTCCTTCATGACGTCTTCTGACAAAATGATTTAAAGTGTTCATAACCCTGAAAGTTTACACTTAATCCGAAACCTTGCATAAAAAAATGCTTTCAGGGAGATTTAAGGCCGTGAAACTTGTCGGTTATAACAGTACTTCATGCGGAAACAGCTCAGATGTTTTAAATGTTTTTTAAAAAAGCCATAATAGGCTTCAACACTGCATATAAACATATAACAAGATTATTTTTGGTTTTCATTCAAAGGTCCCTCATGATTAACGTGATACATGATAACAGATTCTTGTAGACAGATCTGCTGCACATGAGCCTATATAAAATGACAGTATACTTCATGCATCATTTCATCATACACTTTGATTCTGAGCACAGTAAATGATCATTTTACGCTTTGACAGTGGGAATAACAGGGAAGGCTGTCTCTGTGAAAAGCTATACATATTTTCTAGTGAAAAAATGAATAAAGCAGTAAATTGCATATCATTTTTCCTGCACTACAATTTAAATGTACAAATAACAGTCCATTAAATGAAACCCTGTGTTCCAATTTTGCCCGTGTCTACAACTACTGTACAGTCATATGTTAGGCCATAGTCTCATTCATTATATTTCAATTAGCATGGAAATTGAACTTTAAAGTTTATAGAACACTTACAAACTGTTAATTGCTTTGCTAAGCCGTTTCCTAGTCTAAATTGCATCACAGCTGTGCGTTCATTTTGGTACTGCATCAACCCGTGACAGGTCAGTTACAACTCCTTATCATCCAGTAATCACACTGGCTTTATTGTAAGCTGTTTCTCAAAGCAGGTTTCTGGAAATTAAAAAAAAAATCATATCATCTGGGTTTTTAAGGTGTATAAAAAGCCCACTACTCTCTAAGGTCGAAATTGATCTACTGTAGTCAGCCTTCTTGAAGTAACTGTCTACAGGCAGATAAAATATACAAAGACAAATACCTGGTGCTTAATTATTGATTAGCGATTTTTCTGTGGAAATATAGATGTTAGGCACAATGGGAGTTGGTTTTTAAATTCCAAATCAAACATCTTATTTTTACAACACTGCACCACGGTGTTAAATGCAGGTAGCTTTGGTCCTGTTTTCCTGTGCTTAACGTCACTGTTTACATTGGTTTTCAAGAGCTACTATTCATCTTCTCGGCCAGCAAGATGAAGTCTTATCTGCTCGTCTTTACATAAATGTGTCATGGCCAGATGAACCTGTTTTCGGGGGGGGGGGGGTCATGGGTTGAAACAGTTTGGTGTTGGGCGCCTCCACCAGCCGCCCTCTGTGCATGCACCAACCAGTAAGTCTACGCTGGGCCTGAGGCGCCTGTGTGTGAGTTAGTTTGTGGTAATTAAATGAACTAATTAAACGCAATCTTATTTAGGAATATGCACCACCTGGGCACAAAATGAAGTAAAATAATAACAACACTGGCAGGACCACAGCTTTAGATAATAACACTGGACCTGCTTTTGTTGATATTGTAGTTTAGTTTTGCAAGTCTGCAGTGAATTGAATTGCCAAAAACCCACTGACATGTGACAGTGAACCCGGAGCTTTGACCTCCAGCCTTGAATTTCGCCCTTGTTTGTGATTTGCAGAACAGATGAGGAAAGGTGATGGCCCATCATTGTCCTCCAAAGTGACAAATTCAGTGGGTCTCCTCAGTGTCATGAAAATATAAGATGGATTATCCTTGTGAAATGGCAACTGAGCTTAAAGTCTTTGGTTGCTGTTCCCAATCATTTCTGTGGTTGCAGATGATCCGTTACGTCTGGCATTTAAGATGACATTTTCAGCCGCAGAGTAGGGTTCAGCACGGTCTTAGACATAGAAGGTGTAGAGCTGATCATCCTTTAAGAAATATGTGTTTTGGGAAGACAGCTGGTTCTCTGCTGACGGATTGAATCAGTTTTGCTGGGTGGACGGTTGTTCAGGTGTACAATTTTTGAGGCGGGAACAGGTGGCGAGGCGGTTTCCCTCCCAGTAGCCGGCGTCCTGGCCATCGTGACAGCGACACTTGGTGCAGGAGTCGACCCAGACGGGCTCTCCTGCAGGAATCACCTGACTGCGTGAGGCGTCAGCGTAGCAGTTGGGTCCTGGAGGGGGAGACGAACAACAGAGGTAAGTGCAATTGCATCTGAATAGATAAGACAAACAAGTACTGTGCATATGCCCTCACCCCTGTGTGCAAAGGATAAAATGTGCTATAATCCAGACATTATCAACAAAGCAAGATCACAGGGTGGTGTCTAAATTATTACATTTTATTATATATATGTTCCATATTTGAGAAGCCTTCAGTGTTTTTCAACTTACTATTACTTTCTATTCTCCATGACTACTTTTTCAACTTACCCTCCTTGCATTCAGGGCAGCATTTTCCCGGCTCGTAGACAGGGTTGACACATGGTGGAGGGGCACAATCTGCAACCAGACAGCGGGCAATACCATCACTGTCACAAGTGCACTGCTCACATTCTGATGGCTGGGAAAAGACAAACACAGTGGTACTCAGCACGGATCAGTTTATAATCTCTTCATGATGTACTATCGCTGATAGTAAGATGAACAAATAGCATATCACATTATCATACTCCTAAACAGAACCATTCAACAAGCTTTCCTCATTTAATCTCAAAAGGGGGCGCCATTTACCTCCAATCCCCTGCTCTATTCTCAAATTACACACCAACATACCATCAAGTGGTTCAGAGTTTTAGAAGGAAACACACCTAAGAAGATTTATGCAACCATATCCTCATTTATTTATAACACATGTTCAGGAGAATAAGTTTAATTGTAAAAATATACTTGTACATAGTTACATATTTCAATGACAGGGAACAGAGGTTGCAGAACAGAGTGGAACCTGCATGAAACAGATCAACAAGGTTTGAGCTGGTGGTCACCTTTGTTTTTGTGATATCTGTGTGATAGATACATTGTTTATTAACAGCTGGTTGCTAATGCAGAGTATCTGATGCTCTGCTTTCTGCAAAAAAAAAAAAAATTATATATATATATATATAAACATATATACTGTATATATAATATGGATTCCTCTGAGTCTGGTGGGATATTCAATGTAGGTTATAATGGCTATGTTGTCCATAGTTATTTGTGGTATTCCTTTGACATAACTGTTGGGCATTAATCCTATACTGCACATATAGTCTGTATACATACAGTTTATGGCTTTGCAGTGACATTTAAAATATTCTAATTATTATTGATACATTTATCTTCAAAATGCTGCAGGTTTTTATTTTGAGATGGTGCAGATGAGCAGTTTTGGGCTTAGTGGCAATGTAGTCCTCTGCTCTGCCTACACCCTACATTTGCATTTATGCTCTTGACCCTTAAAAACGCTGAATACCTAGGACAAAAACACCCTTCCCCCAAATCACAGGTTCTTTACTGTAGATGTAAGCAGTTTGACCAAATAATTTAAGCATTTTAGATACCTAATGAAGTTAAAATATTACATAAAGAATACATTGAAGAAGAATAAGAGAAAGAGAGAAGTAGGTCAAATCTCAGCACATTCCCTGACCCCTTTGTCACATTAATGGAGTATCTTTGGGGGCATGCAGCCCCCCCACCCCACCACCCCCCACGCACACACACAAACCCTCCCCTCCTCCATTGCTAGACATACCCATAGCTTATTTTCAGTTGTTATCACTTTCATTCTTACCTGGAAATTCTGCCCCAGCTCGTATACCACACCTCGGTACTCACAACCGATCTTCTCGCACCTAGGGCAGCAGTCGGTGGGGTAGTGGCTGACATGGATGCATGCAGCAGGTAGGGAGGTGCACTCAGTACGGGCACATGCGGAGCCCTCGGCAGTGCACTCACACTGGGTACAGTGATCAGAGTCCAGAAAATACCATTCCCCGACGTAGTATAAGCTGCCGTTGGCCTCGCAGGTGCTCTCCTGCTGTCCGGCGACTGAGAAGCCAAACCCGGCCTGTGCGCAAAGCAGGAGCGCCCAAACAGCCGTGCGTAACCTGCGCTCCAAGGAGAGGCGCTCACTGAAAACCTTTGCCATGATTTATCTTATTCACCTTGTCCAAAACAAAAAAGTTAACAATGAAGCGAAGTGGAGCATCTACTGTAGTCCAGCTGGGATTTGTTTTCAAAACTGTTTAGTTTCTTACATTGTTACCAACTACAAAATCCTTGACTTTACCTCCGTACTCCTCCCACAGGGGTCTGCTGGGGTATGCGCCGGGCTGCGCACACTTCTGCAAAAAGCCCGGAAGGGGGTGGAGGTTGGAGTAATAAAGAGGGAAAGTTATAGTCACTGCCTCTGCGAGTTCACACACCAGTCTTAGCTGAAGTCTGTCTCTCCCCGAATTTAACATCTGTAAGAATATTAGACTTTTACAAGAGCACAGGTGTGTTGGTAATGACTGAATGAAAAAAAAAAAAACGGTCGTCGAATATGTGTTTAGCTTTTTCTTTTTTTTTTAATTTAAATTCATTTAAATAAAACACACACATAATTCCGAGAATCAATAAAATATAAATAAAATATTTTGGATTTATAGAGAAACCTATCTCGCGATATCTCCCCTTAGCAACTGGAATGTTTACCTTGGATACCACAGCTTTGCTTGATTCAAGACACCGGTTAAGGTGAGTTGTTGTTCCCCTGTGGGAACAAGTAAACACATTTTATAAACTTATGGGTGCCTTAGACAAGCAGTTTTATCGTTTAATCGTTAAAGTGTTGAAAATACGATCTGTGAACATGTCGATTAAATTGCTTGCAAGCTTCCCCGGGAAGACGCTGTAGCTTATCTATCTATTAGCTAACGTTAGCTACTAGCAGTAGTAGTTACTGTGGACAAAGTTGTTTAAGTTAGACAGAAAAACTCTGGTAATATTTGAGGTTTTATTCCAACAAGTACATCCATGCAGTAAATTGCAGCATACTGTATTAATGTCAACAAGAGCTGGGGCAAGTATCCAGGTCACTTTGGTCATTTAGAAGAAGTAGCAATGCTAATCCATAGAAATACTCCATTACATGTAAAATCCTGTATTCCAAAATGGTAAAATAAACAAGTAAAATCTTAATACACTGGCATCTATTGCTGTCAGTTAAATGTAGTGAGGGGAAAAGGCACAATATTTGCCTCTAGAATGAAGAGAAGTGGCATTAAATCTTAATACTCAGGGAAAGTCCTGTATTTCAATCGATGCACCATATTTTATCACTTTTTTTAACGTATGTTACTTTCCATTCCTTCATACTTAGATTGCCACTCATATGCAGTCTCCCGATGAAAGCCAGCTCTGGTGCCTTGGCCCATCCCTGTGGAGCCTGATTGCTGAACATGTTCCTGGTTCAGAGCTGCCAAAGATCCATACAGCACTGGGCCACTCCCTGGTTGGCATGTACACAGAGGTGCACTCTGAGGTGAGCAGCTTTTTATGACTGCAGTATTTCTGATTTCTTCTGCCAGAATGTAGCTACATACAGCACTAGGCTTTTTAGCTGGAACATTTCTCTGCAGCTATTTCATCATTCATGTTTTTTCGCACTTACTGTTTTATTCCTTCAAAGAATCCAGACATGGTCGGTATGTAGGATTCCACAAGAATACTTTCACATCTATAAGAATTTCCTTTTGAGCAGGGTGAATCAAAAAATGCTCAACTAAGCATTCCTGCCCAAACAATTTAAGAACTGTGGTTTAAGGCTTTGTAAGTAGGGTTAGTTTGGCTGCATACGCTCATTAATTACAATTCCTAGACTCCCTAATAAAAGTGAAATGTGGGTTAACTGGCACTGTGCCTCAGTGAAGTCCAAATGTGAACCAGACAGACATCAGTATTTATTCAAGGCCAGCTAAACTTTCGGCCCCAAAGCCCTTGTACGCAGCTCTGGCAAAGCAACCTCACTCGTGCACAGTCAATTAGAAAAAATACCCAGTACAGATCACTAAATAGGCCAAGTCAAGGCCAAGATTAAGGTGTTAAATTTAATTTGAAGAGACAAGCATTTTTTGAGATAGCTTAGGGATTTAAAAAAAAAATGAATGAAGACTGAATCGAAGAAAAAACTATTACCTATCCTGACTGTGTTAAATACAACTGATGCTGCAACTAATGTTTATTTTCCTTGTAATTTAATTTGAGGTTATTTTTCTCCATTAATCGTTTCATCTATAAAATGTCAGAAAGTAGTAAAAAAATACCCATCACAAGTTCCAAAAGTCCAGTCATCAAAAGTCTTGTTTTTCTAGAAGTCTCTTTTTTTGCCTCTGCCACCTTCTCTCTGTTCTCCTGCTGTGTTTGTTCGTTATTTAAATCTCTCCATCTGTAGATGTTATCAGCTCTCTCACTGCAGTGCACCAACAGGCCAAGAAAACATAGTATGTCTCAGTTCTCAAGCTATGTGACATATACACTGACCACATATTTTTGTGATAATTAATGTGAAAACCACATGTGACAACTACAAAACATGTTAAAGCTACTTTTCACACCGAAACATGCAAGATTCCCTCTCTTTCACAGACACACACATACACACACACACATATCCTCTTAGACTCAGACATATTCATCTGACAATTGACTGATCAATTTAAATGTCTAAATGTCTGAAAAACTGGGTTTAAAGCACAATCCAAAGAAGTAGTAATGCCAAAATCAAACCAGAATTACACAGAATAATTCAACTCACATACAGACACACTCCCCTATGCACATACATACACACATACAATCACACACACATACACACACACACACACACACACACACACACACACACACACACACACACACACACAGAAAGAGGCCCGGTAAGCTTAGTGAGTCAGGGGGTCGGTATAACAGGGTTAAAGAGGCTAACCCTCAACTGTTGATAAGACCATTAGCAACACACATTCTCTGACTCAATTTTGTGTGTGCATGTGTGTATCAGTTCGAGGGAGGGAAAATGTGTGCATATGCGTATTGCATATCTGTGTATGTGTGTGTGTTTGAGTATTGCTCTGATATTTCTTCACCTACAGTTGAGTGTATGCAGTGGCTGAGTGTAAAGCCCCCAGACGGAAAGAAAGACTTAGGCTGAGAGCTTTGAGAAATTTCCAGGGAAAAAAACAAAGCACAGAGCACCTTATTCAACTCTCAGTCTAGTTCATGCAGGTTTCCTTTAGTTTATACACTCTCAGAACACTTTATTAGGAACACCATACTAATACTGCGTAGGGCCTACCCTTGCTCAGTTTTTCATGGCGTGGATTGCACAAGATGTTGGAAACATTCCTTCGAGATTCTGCTCCATGTTGAGATGATTACATCACATCATTTCTGCAGATTTGTCAGCTTCTCATTCATGCCGCAAATCTCTCATTCTAACACATCCCAAAGGTGTTCTGCCGGATTCAGATCTGGTGACTGTGGATATCATTGAAGTCCACTGAACTCACTGTCATGTTCATGAAACCAGTTTGACTTTTGCTCTGTGACATGGTGCATTATCATACTGAAAGCAGCCAGTAGATGTGTAAATTGTGGCCATAAAGGGATGCACATGGACATTTCCAACCTCAGACCTGCCACTCACTGGATGGGTTTCATTTCTTGCACCATTCTGAGTAAAACTCTCAAGGTTGTTGTGTGTGAAAATCCCAGGAGATCAGCAGTTTTAGAAATACTCAAACCAGTCCTCCTGGCACCAACAATCATTCCACGGTAAAAGTAAAATGTCAATATTAACTGATGCTCGTGACCTTCATCTGCATGATTTAATGCCCTGTGCTGCTGCCACATGATTTGCAGAGTGTATACCTGCATGAATAGGCAGGTGTACTAATGTTTCTCATACACTGGTCGATGAGTGTACATTTACCGTGGGGTGGAACACTTCCTGCCCTTTTTTTCTCTTTCCATGTCTGCCTATCTCCATGTCTATCTTGTTCTTTTTTCTCTGCGCTGTCCCATGTAATGAATTCCATCCCTCAATAAGCCATTGTGAAAAGTAATAGTAGGCCACCCCTCCATTCCTCAATACCGCCATTCCTCCCTCCATCAAGGTCGCCATTGTCTACGGCGGGTTAGATCAGAGGGAATATTAGCCTCTCTTTATAAGTCTCCCTACAAGGCCAATCTCTCTGTACCTCTGTCTAAACTCTCACTCTTTCTCTCTAAGCTGAATAAAAATGAACTGTTTAAGTTAAATGTATTCTAAAACCCAATTTAAATAATTCAACGTAATAGCTCCTAGTAGGTTTTTTAACTGACAGGTTTCAGCAGTGCGCCCTTAAAATAGCTTCTGGATGAGATCAACAGTCTCAGAGCAGAGGGAGGGGATAAAAAATCCAGGAACAACTCCTTAGTCAGTGGGCCTTGAATCCTGTAACATAAACACCTCAGCACCCAAATACAGACAGGAAGCCAGTGTGAGTGAAAAGGGCTGTGCGTGTGTAACGATCATATTCAGTGTAAATGCTGGTATGTCAGTGGACGTGCACACACATTGAGAAACATGCAAAGACCAGAAGCAGTGTGTTCAGTATCCTCCAGTGTGTTCCTTTGAAGTGAAGTTTTTGACTTGAATGATTGGCAGGCAACAGGTGTGGGGATGTTAATAGCATTCAGACATGTATATGTCCAGAAGTACTCTCCCACAGATTTTTCACACTTTTTCTTTTTTTTTCCTTTTTTTTTTTTTTTTTTAACACATGGATAATTTTCCTTTGGCTGTTATTTACATTATGGATAAATAATGGTGTGTATTCAGATGCAGGAGACAAACTGCAGAGTATGGTCCTGGGTGCTCACGCAAGTCTGATTTTTTTTTTTTCAGTTCCTTTATCTGCAATAATCCTTGCAAAATTACAAAGACTGAAAAGCTGCCTGGTCCTGCAGGACACAGGGCTGTTTTTCTTTTGACTGCTCAGTCTCTTCCACATATACTTTGTGTTCCTCTGTTGTGTGTGAAAGCATGAAAACATGGTGTGGCATTGTTTTACAGAAATCCAAGATTGAATTGAAGGAAACTGGACTTGGTTGTAGATACCTGAAGACATTTCACCTCTCATCCAAGAGACTTCTTCAGTTGTTCACAACTTGAACTTGAGTTCCACTTATGTTGCAAACACAGTGACTTGAGACTTGACTTGACACTTGTCCTGAAAAGACTTGACTCGAATTTGAGATTTGGGGCTTGTGAACAATCTTTAATTTATTACCTCCACCAAGGTTAAGTGTTTACCCATGTTTTTTTGTCAGCAGGATTATGCAAAAAGCACTGAATCGATTTGCACTGAACTTGGTGGAGGGATGGGGCATGGGCCACAGAAGAGCCCATTCAATTTTGGGGCAGATCCAGATCATTTACCATGACTTTGAATTTTTTTCTTCAAAGTCTGGTGTATGTCAGGCACATAGTGGCTAATCAGGAGGCATGAAGATTGCTGGTGAGCCGTACAGCTTCTTGAGCCATGAGAGCGAGAGAGAGCAGGAGGGGGAGAGATCAATAGCGCTGTGTTGGTGTGATCAGTCGAATGGAGCAGACTGTGTGGCACACTGTGTGGCCTTCATTTCTCCCATGTCTGCCTCCCCAGCAAATTACGCTCGGTTCTGTCCTACATGGCAACAGACAGGAACAGAGCACCAGACTTTGTTCTTGACCGCAGCTGGCAGTAAGTCCATTTGAACAGAATCAGCCATAGGCAGAATACAACAAGAACCTGGTCTGAGTTTATTTAGCAGGAAAATGTTGTACAGCTTTGTTTTCTGCTCCTGTTTGATCAGAAAATTCTAATTAAAGTATTAAAAGTCTGTGTGAGGGGAGTAAAAGTACCATCCATACCATCTACTGTCCAGTCTGAATTCTAAGCTCACACTCTCTATAGCTATTAACTTATATGGTGGAAAGTGATACAAGAACAACAGTTTAATGCGCTGGTTGTACAAAATTAATTTATCCTCTGCTTACCACATGATTCTTTTAGAGTGTGACACACACTGTAGCCTATGTGATGGTGTCTCCAGATGGGTTTTGGTCGGCCAATCCAAGTCAAAAGTCCCAGGCCAATTTTTATTCCCACTCCATTCCTGGCATGTGTTCTTTGACACTGGCCTTGGCGGAGCTCTACACTCTACTGAGCACATTTTTTAGTTTTTGGCACATTATCATTAAGGAAATGTCTGACAAGCTCTTTGTCATTCCTTCCCTTATTATCATGTGTAGATAAAGGAGTGATGATAATGCAGTACATGCCTCAAGTTCCTTTGATATGGTAATGAAGTGTTCTAAGCAGACCGGATGGCTTGCAGGAGGTGATAAAACGCTCATAACAAACATTAGAGACTTAGGACTTGACTTGAACTTTAGCTCAAAAACTTGAGAATTGACTTGGACTTGTAAAAAATGATTTGTGAGCACCTCTGGTCAAGACTCATGTATTTAACCTCTGTGGGGTCATCTTCAGTATCTTCAACCAGTTGCACTGAATTCAACCTTTCTTGGATAACCTATATGTCTGGTTGACTGAGAAACTTCATAGACATCCTGCTTTCAGACCCAGATTTTATGTCCCTGTGCATCTTAAAGTTGCTTCCTGTTCCAAGAAGACAAGGTTCATAGCAGTTTATTGTACACAATGTCTTCTTGAGACAAGGACAGTCCTGGAAACGTTTTCACTCATAGAAAGTGAAGAGACAAATGGAGAAAAATGCAGCATAGTCTCTTAAGTAACTGAAAAGCAAAAAAGTAAAACTACTATGGGTGGTATTATTAACATTTTTATTCAGATTTTTTATTGATACAGCTGTCTCGTTGTTTTACATTTTTAATATATGTTAATATAGATACATTTTCAGAGTTGTTTTTATAAAAATATATACCCTCTATACCTCACATTTTGAGTTGCATTAATTAAGCAATATCACATGAGAGGGAGTGATGTACTGAATATCATGCGGCCGAGTACCGAAGACAATGCTTTTATACAAAAGTTCTACGGGCGCCATATTAGTTAAATAAGCAACAACATATTATGATTTGTTTGTTTATTTCATCATCATTTGGCAACGCCAACATATATACTTCCACAACCGGACTGATACTGGACTGTTGCTAAGCAACACATAAACATTTTCCTGACCTGCACAGTGCACACTAGCTTGCTCCTTGCTATCTACACGTTACCTCAGGTACGTGCTGAAGTATCCAGGCTTCTTCCCTTCATCCTCTTCTGACGGCCATATGTAATTTAATTCAAATGTTATTTCGGGAATATATTCATCTTTGTTACAATCTAAGATAGATTATGGCCATTAATGTAACGCTGATTAACGATTAATAAAACACCTGTAAAGCAGGGTGATACATGTAGTTAAAAGTCCCAGTGTTATACTTTATTTCAGCACTCACGGAATGCCTCTCATCCAATCAAATTACTTGGTCGGAACTAACTGTTGTATAAGTAATTATATTATGCTTTAACTAATTAGCCTAGAATACAGGTCATTTGGTTACAACTCCGATTGAAAATGCCTCACACTTCTCTAAGTACAGTGTAGTGTTGCTCTAATATGAATCAACTCAGGTTCCACATGAAGAGGAGATCCTGCAGCTACATTACCTGCACTACTGAGTATGCATTGTTACACTCCCAGTATAATTGCTTTTTCACAGATCGTAGTCATATTTTGGATTCACTGAGACTAGAAGAAATAATATAATCCTCCCCTGGCTTCTCTGAGACATGAAAAGTCCTGATATCATCCTCAGTCAGGGGGGCTGTCAGCAGAGTCACAGGATGACGGATGTCTGGATCACAGCTTGCAACGTACTGCCAGAGGACTGTCCACTCTGCTTAAAACTAGTAGTACACTAAATCATTTTTGGCTTTGAAAATGTTTTAATTTATCGATTAAAAAATATAGTGCAACATCATGAGCTGATCGCTGTGAATTTATCACCTGTACATTTTCTTACTCATTCCTTCATTCATTCATTCATTAGTCATACCCCTTGTCCTTTTAGGGTTGTGGGGTGCTGGAGCCAATCCCAGCTGTGCCACCGCATTTTTCTTACTATTGCCAGAAAGAAATCCTCTGTAAAACACAGACAAAAGTGTTTGTGTATAACCTCTGGTTGTCTCCACTACCTGTGGTTACTTTTGCAGGCGGAGATGTGGCACAAGATGTGGCAGGAGAGCCAGCGAGGAGGAAACCATGGCAGCAGTGCAATGACCTCAGTCCCACGTCAACAGGCCCCCCCTCTGGCTGACCCCCCTGCAGTCAAAGAGCTCCTGAGAGCTGAGGTCAAGATGTTGCTACAGACTCTTAGAGAGAGAGCCAGCAGGGGGGGAAGGTAGGTGTAAGATCTCCCACACTTAAATCCACTCTACTGTACATTAGTAGTGAACTACTGAAAGGTTATGTTTTTATTTTTATCTTTGAACGGATTGGCCATATAGATTTGAAGAAACACAACACAATTTATAGAATTGTGCAGACATTACACACTGACGACTAATGACTGGAAACATTGTTTTGATAATGTTAGCCATCTTAGAAGTACACCAAGCAACTTTAGAATATTGCATCTATACCTTGTTTTACCCCACGGCATATTACATTCTCAAAAACTTTACATGTCCGTCGTGTCTCAGCCATTAGTTGAACATTATGATGGCCAACAAGTTAACAGAAATTGGATTTTTCAACCAAAGGAGATTTACGCATATTAACTTTCTCAACACTCTGTTTGAATTAAAAGTCAGACTAAATGTTTGACAGCTACAGTCTTGATGAGGCAGTTTACTTCCAGATGTATACACAGCCATTAGAGTCAACATTTTCATGATTTATTTCCCTAATATTCAATAAATGCAATTTCTCTCTTGATCTAATTTGTGAGTGTGAGGGAGTTCTCAGCGCTCTGAACTCTTAGCACAACACTTGTCTATGGTTTTCTCACAAGCCAAGAGGTGGGATGGGCAAGTAGGTTAAGACCCTGCTCACACACTATGTCATTTTTGCCCAAACAAAGAATGCCATAAAATGCTGCATTGTGTTCCCATGTCAGTTACAAATGGGATGGGAAAGCAGTAGAACAAAGGTTCCTGGCGTAGGGATGCTGCAAACTGATTTGGAAACTGTGGAACAATAGGACATTTATAGGAGGGAGCCATCCATGCATTCCACACCAAATGAGTTCCAAGAGTTCAGATTTTAAAGCCACTGCCAGCTTTATTATATTGAATATATGTTTTAACTTTAAATGGGTAGCTAAACAGTAATTTCAAAATTGTAAAAAGTATGAATGCAAAATATAGAGTAAAACAGGCCTTTATTCAGTTGTTTGTCAGTAAAGAGCTCACAGGGCAACAACAATGAATCCTGGGACTCTGTATCTGGTTTTTATGAAGCACAGTCATTGGGGAGTTATAAGCGCCCCAATAAGTGGTAATAAAACTTTCTAATTGCTGTTTGGCTTTTAATTTCTACCGCTAATCATACAGCTCAGGTCAGAGATGAGCTTGTAGCAATTTGCAATTTAATGACATGTATTAAATAAAATATTCTGAAGAATGTCATAAAAACTGTTGGCAGGATAACATCAGTTAGTAACACTGCCCTTCCTTACACATCCATACATTACAATTTAATAGCCTAAATTATGTATTCGAATGTGTCTATATGAGTGTGTGAGAGTCTGCATATGTATGAGCTAGTAACTATCCCAGCAACTAGTTCGCTGCTGCCAGGAATGTTGCCCCACGTCACCTCTCTGGTTTCGCTGAGGCCTTTTAGGAGACGCACAACATAAGATGGATTGTTCTCTGTTTTTGTGACAAACCATTTACTGCCTGTCAATTTGTCGACTTCTTTTTTATTGTGATTTTCTTTTTTTCTGTGTGTTGTTAAGCAAAAGGGTGCAGGCAACTCCTCAGTGGTTTGGGTTTTTTTTTATATATATTTGTGTGTATGTGCACTTGTTATTCCCAGTCCTCTATTTGGAGCCACTGGTTTTAACAGATGTGTGCCATGTTGACCTGCCTTGTAGAATCTAAATGCATTAATTTGTTGCAATGTCAATAATACTTTAGGTACTTGGTCATAAACCTAAGTATTGGACATACAGAATTTTTGACCTGATGATAATGTTAGATGAAAAGGATCACCAAAGTTAATATAATTCATCCTGAGGGGAACACGAATGTCATTACGAAATGTCATGGCTCTCCATCTAATAGTTGTTGAAATATTTCAATCAAAATTACAAACGTGAACCTCATGGTGGCACAACAGAAAAAGTCAGAGCATTATTATGGTACACCCACCGGGGACTGTGCATCTCTGTACAAAATTCTATGAAAATCTATCCAATGGTTGTTGAAATCTATCCATTTAGCCCAAAGTGATGGACTGATAGACCAACACAATGATACCTAGAGCCTCTGGCATGGTTAAAAACTGTCAGCATCACCGGCATTAACAGTTGCCACGTTTGTTGTTTTTAGTTAACTTAAAAATTTAAGATTTCCCACTGTATAACGTTACACTGGTGCTTGTTATGACAGCTCAGTTGACAGGGATTTATTTTTGAAGTAATCTTCCAGAGTTTCTTTTAAGTCAGGACAGCAGGTCTGATGTTTAAACTGACAATCCAATATCCATAAGGCCACAGGTCTGAGGCCCATAACAGCACTGTGTCTTATTAAAGTGCCACTGAGCAAGACATGAACTGAAGCCTTACTTGCTCACACATCACAAGTCACTCTTGTAAAGTGCTCCAGCTCGGATGTAAATGGATTACAAAAAGTCCCATTCAGAGGGAGAAATGTGGCCCTTTGTTATTGGCTGCATGGGAACAATGCCAAAAAAGTATTGGTGCCACACAGGCTGTGCCAGCACAAATCGCTTTTTCTCTTTGAAGTTGGCTTCGGTATACTTGTTGATCTTGATGCATGGTACTGAGTGTGTGTGTCTGCATGTGTGTGAGTTTCAGGCCTTTGATCGTTCAATTAGGCTAAGTCCCAAGTGTATATCAGCTAAATGGCTTTCAGGACCAAAACCGAACACACTTCCCCGTAATAGCACTTTCACGTAATAATGCTCCTCAACCCACTGTTTGTCAATTTACTTCAATTTAATATGCTTTGTTGGCATGGAAATTGAGAAAATATTGCCAAAGCATCAACAGAGACTAGAATATTTCTCTCTTTTATACTCTCTGCTAGAAATTATTATTTGTGTGTGTATATATGTGTGTGTGCATTATTTTTAATCTAATTTATCAGACCTGTTAGCCAAGAACACTTTCCTGTAATTGCAGCAAAGTCCTAATGCTACTGATTTATGTAAAGCCACATCAACAGGAGTAGCTGAGTGCCAAGGAGGGCAACAATAGTTCTCATCCTCGTACCAGATTTTTCCTGTGATTTGAACCATTTGTATGAGGGTGTGGGTGGGTGTGTGGATGGCTATGTACCTTGTAAAAGTCAACTGATTTATCTTATTGGCCTCCTCCTGTGTGGTCCTGATGCCCCTTCCACCCACACACACGCACACAACTCCATGTCAATGTCTGAGTGGCTAGAAAGTACAAATTTTCCCTCGTGCAAAGACCCTAACCCTGACCAAGCTGTCACCCCGCCTACAGCTGCCTACACCAGTAGATGATTTCTTTTTCACCCAGTGATCATTCCGAAAATTCACATCTTTGCTGTCAGTCTTTTTTTCCTGAAATCTATTTTTGTTTTTTTGGAAAATATATATTTTACATTTTTTAAAATGCTCAAGGGCTCAGCTCTGTCTCAGTGCTGACTGTGAAGGTTGTTTCCCTTTGAGCCAAGTCTTGAATGAACTTAAAGCACTAACACATCATCGTCCACAGAGCAAGAGTTTGACTTCTGTTCAGGCTCTGTTCAGTAATTCAATTCAGTGCGAGAAGCTGATAATAAGACACAAATCAATTAGAGACTATTGCACATGAAAAAAAGAAAAGATAAAAGTGAAAACCATTCAAATGAATGAAAGGCAATACAAATAAAGGTACATAAAATAAAATAATAAGGTAAAACATGGAGTGCTATGTACATTGTTCAGCACAGCAGAGCTGCAGATACGATAAATTGACTTGTGTAAAGATTCGGTCTTTGTGCTGTTGTTGCTGTAGAGATGGTGAGGAGCTCCTGTTTCGTTACAAACCTGAGACTGTGAACTATGCCCTCGGTCACCTTGACAGCTGTTACAGTAACTGTACCAACCTTGGAGATACTGATTATGGAAACAGGTTAGTAACACTGGTGGGCAAAACCTGCATATTTTACTAACCGGAATAAAATCTCTTTTAATCTTCTGTTGTCTACTCTTTTCTTACTTTCTTCATCTCCTCTCCTTCAGACCAAGCTCTCGTTGTTCAGTCAAGTCCCACGCTGAAGACGAAGTTGAGGCAGTAAGAGACAAGCTGAATGTCACTGACATTGACCAAGTGGTGGACCGCCTCAAGTAAGTTGAATACAGCAGTGGGTTCCAGACACTTTTGGCTTGTGGCCCGTTAAAACAAACCAGTGTCTTTTTGCAACACATCGTCACTGGTTATGTGACATGAGTATTGAGCAGTTCAGAGAGTGATTTTTCTCCTCTCATGTTATTCTATTTGAAGGACTTATAGGCCTTAAAGTAGCTATTATTGACATTGTATTAAATCACAATGTAAAAATAATGTGACAATATGAAATGGTGGCTTGTGATGAACCTACAGAGAATTGTCACTTGAATTTGAAGTTCCACTTGGTTTCATGGAGCTTTATAATGACTTTCAGCTGATTTTTTAGTTGTCTGAAGCAAATTTACTGTTTTGGTTCACTCTCATTGCTTGCTTAGTGTCTTTCTCAGCAAAAAAGCTTTAAAAAACAATTGAACACCACCTGCTCAGCACCAAACAGCAAACAGACACAGTTGGAGACTAGCTGGTGAACGTAGTGGAGCAATTAGCAGCTAACGAGCCAGATATTTATCTCAATAGTTGGTAGAGACCAAAATCAGACCTAAAAGAGACTTTGATATTGAATTTATATTCTGGCCAAAAACACAACCAAATGAAAGACGATGCTACTTCTTAACTGCTGTATGTGTAAATAAGCAACTGTTAGCTAACAAGTCAGTTATGTCAGATGAAAAGGTGATCATATGTCAGTGTTGTGTCCACAACAGCACAATATATTTTTTCCTTTTCTTGTTTTTTTAATCACCCTGTGACGACTCAAACTTTTCTCAGGACCCCTCGGTGGGTTCCAGCCCATGGAGTGGAAACCACTGGCATAGAGAATCCAGCCATGGCACTCTGTAAACATTACCTGTTTTACACTGATGCCGACATGAAAATTAACATTAATTAAAGAACACTTGTCGGGAACATCTTAGATTTGTAATACTAACTAGCAGAGACATGTAATGCGTATTGTATTATTTTTTCTTTGTGGTGTAGATGCATTTGTTGTAAATGACATTCACATGTGCTCTGTAATTGAGTTCCTCTGAGCCCTCTCCTTTTCACAGTTTTTTCCCTTAATTTCCCCTCAGCTCTCCTCTGTGGCCTCTGTCGCTGCCCTGCCTCCTTCACACTCCATCCCTCCTTTCCTTTCTCTACATCCCTCGCTTTGAGGCCCACAGAGCAATGCAGTCACTGGGGCTACCTTGGAAGAGAGCCTCTCTCTCTCTCTCTCTCTCTCTCTCTCTCTCTCTCTCTCCCTCCCTCCCTCTCCTCCTCTCTGTCTCTCTCTCTCTTTTTCTTCCTCTCTCTCCCATTTCCTGACTCGACCAGAACAATAAGCCCCATTGTCAGAAAATGGATCCCAGACAGGACCACAGCGGGCAGAAGATTCTTTTTCATTTGAAAGAAGTGAATAAAGTCTACTATGGTTATGTAACCAAAGAAGGGAAAAGAGTGGGGGACAGAGGGAGGGAAGAGAAAAATAGGACACTGTTTCCTCGGTACCTTATGAAAACTACAGAGGATAAACTCTGAGCAGATGCCAAGTCCACCTTGTTGTCACTGCCTCAGTTGTGAGACTGGATTGTACCTTTTTGCTTATAAATCTACCATTGTGTGCCTTTACAGCATTTTGAAAATGATAGTGTTATATAGTGTATTGCCTACTGAATCACAGATTTAACCCGCTGCACACAACCTGTAACATATAACAAAATTCACGAGCTACTCTTCAAATCGCTCATATTCATAAAATAAGGATATTAAATGTTAAATATGTGGATGCATTTTTACTGCATTTAAGACAACCAGGGGCATTATGAAATGAAGTTACAGTTTTTAACTAAGGTGTTTGGCTGTGCACGTCTGTTGTGATTGTCAAACACATAGTTTCCACTTTGACCTAGATTTTAGTTTTGGGCTCAACTGTGTTTATTAATGAAAGACAACTTCAGTACTGATGATAAACATCTACGCTGTTTTCTATCTGCCTATCTTATCTATCTAGGTCTGTCCTAATGGAGGAATCTGAAGTGCTGAACAGACTGGTAAAGCATTTCAAGGTAAGAAGAACAGCACAAAAAACAGCAACCACCAAATGAGTCTTTAATCTTCTTTGTTTTTCATCTGACATTGTGATCGTGATCCAAATCCTAAAATTATTTATGTGAAACCAGGCCAAAGGTGCTGATTTAATGTATTGATGTGCACCTGCAATCAGAATCCATACAATACAACCTTGTAAGCATTCTGAGTTATGAAGCTATGCTTGTCCTTGCAATTCTGGATAGCCTATATTACAGTATATGTACAGCATGCACAGATTTCTTCAGAAGGAATTTTATCTAAACCACCTAAATAATGACTTTACCCTTAAATTTCCCTAAAGTTTCTTACATATAGAAAAAAACATAAACCTCTGTTGCTTGCTTTAGAGTTAATTACAACTGCACCATTACAACAAAAGGGAATATTCTAGCTGTCTTGTGCATCATTTTATAAACATTACCCACCCCCTAAAAAAACAAAGTCTGACTTTTTTTGTCTGAGTAAAATTTTACTAGAAAAATAGAAAAATGTTAGAATTTGAACATTTATCCAGACAACATAAGTTACATTTGTTTGGTTCAGTTTATTCAAGGAGTAGTTTATACATAAATATAAATTTGTTAAATGATGGTAATCATTTCCATTAAAAATGTCGTCAACCAGGGGCACTCTTTTTCCCAAATCATTTTTTTTCTAAAGTTTGAATCCCTATTTGGACTCCCACAGGTAGATCTACTAACCCTCTATTGGCACTGAAACCCTGCCAAGGCATCCATTTACACACACTCATACAAACAAAAACTTGCACGCACACACAGGAAGCCTGCAAGGGCTCAGTCTAAGCTTGTTTTTCCATCTGTCTGGCCAAGAGCTTTGCAGTGCTGAGTAAGGTCTATCTCCTTCCAATCACTCAAATGGCTTACTACATACATACACATACAATTAGACACACACACACACACACATTGACAAAGAAACACACATGCATGCATGCCTACAATCTGGTTACACTGTCATGCTTGTCTGGCATTATGAGAGAAACAGAGGGTGAGTTAGTTAGAGGCCAGATGTAGGACTTTTCTGCAGACCAGATGTGAGAGTTATCTCTCTGTACCCTCTGTGTGTGTGTGTTGTGTGTGTGTGTGTGTGTGTGTGTGTGAGAGAGAGAGACTGTCTGGAAGTGTTACGTTGGCAGTTCATAAGGAAACAAAAAAAACCTGAAAAATGTGAATGGGTACAGTGAGAAAAAATAGCTATCAATAACCCCCCAAAGTCTTTGTTTTTTTCCGAAGCAACATAAATGGGTGTAGGAGAGTGAGACAGTTATTATAGGTACTATTTCCTGATTCGAGGATGTGGAGCTTTTCTTAGTTGTCATGAGGCATTTACTGTAAAGGCACTTTCTGATCAGGACCCTTTGTTAAAGCAGAAATGTGGCACTTTCCCTATAAAGAAATTGTCTCTGCAAGCAAGTGGTTGCTGATTGGTGTGTGAGCAGTTGGGATGAAGCTGTGTCTCAGGTGGTGATGCCAACCTGTGCTCTTATGTCATGAGCTTATTGTGCTTATTGCCTGTAGTGCTTATTGACTGTAGCGATACAGTGGTGGATGATGCTGATGCTGTGTGGTGTGAGGCATCACTGCCACTTTGATAGCTCATCAGTCCTTGGAAGGGAGGACACTGAGAACAGCCCTGAGGATCCCCTGTGTGATTTTTAGGTTTTAACTAAAATCTTGATAAAGTCTTATTGTCTACAAATACACTCACTCATGTTATGGTCCCAGTTCAAGGCCTCATCTGGCCACACCTGCTGAGACAGTTACACAGGAACAGACAATAGATAAGCCTTAATAGAAGAGCTAGTAAGCATTAAAAGCATTGTTTGCGGTTCTCACCTTTTCTACTTAATGACTAAACCTTCAACTGCTGCCAAACACAAGGCAAATAGGCAAATGAGACATACCGAACACTATTTTGAGTCTTGTTTTAGTTACTGAACAAAAATGTCTACAATATGCCTTTAGTCACAGATCCACTTCTTCAAATTTCTAGTACTTAAATGTTTTTGAAGGGGAAAACTAATTTGGATTCTGATCCAAATTTTAAGATTTTACACAGAGTGAAGAATGTAACAGGGAAATATTTGAAGTTTCCAACTCAAATCACATTTTTAGACGGTGATTATTAACATCTGTTTTGTATTTTTCAAGGCCTGTCATAATTAGCTATATCTTTTGCAGTTTCTGTTTTCTGTGCTGGTAATTAACTGTAAAATTAGATGAAAATGTGTTAAATGTCAAGAAATATTGCATCAGTGTGTTTAGGCTGTAAACATGGTACTTGTTTAAAGTCAAGGTAATTGGCCTGCCTGAGGAGTGTCATGAGCTTCTCATCCAACACCATCATGTCTGACGCAGCTGAGATTGCTATTGATTTAGGGTTATTCCATGCAGTTAAATTATCTAGTTTTTAAAACAGCTATTATCTGGAGCCAAATTAGACTTTTAGAGGTTGATACAGTTATGATGAAATTCCCTTTTTGGTACATCATGTAGCAGTCAATCATTTTCTCCTAAACACAACTTTAATGATCCATTGTCTCCGAGTAGGAGGAAGGTTCAGCACCATGGTAGTTAAGAATAACACACACAGACTGTTGTTTAAAGGTGTTTGTTGAGTATAAAGTTTCCCTCCCCCCACAAGCTGTGGAAACTATGTAGATACTATTTTCCAAATATTCTGACCTCTAAAGTACAGGCTGCACTCTCACTGCAGCTTTTCATAGTGATTCACTGTACAGTAACTGTTAATAAGTCAATATTCTCCAAAGCAGTGGAGTGGACTCCGTTGGGTGTCTTAGAGGCATGAAGGCTCTCATGTCTGCTTAGTTGCTTAATCCTAAAGCCACAATGAGGTCTCTCCATCATTCCCTATCCTTGGCAACATGTTGAGCCTGCTCCCAAGTTAAGGTTATTTTGACCAACTTGCCCTTCAGGCCGTTTTTAGTCTTCCAGGTCAGTGTCAGTGAGAGATGTGAGATGCGACTTGCGTTGTGATCTTGTTAAGACTCATCTCTGAAGTCGAGTGTTATCCTATTTACATTCTCTAACATGTGGCAGTGCAGGTTATCCATTCACTATTTTCCATTTAAGTTTACTTCAGTAAGCTTACTGCCAATATCCAGTTGTAGCTCTGGAATTGGTTTACATGAATGTATAAGAATTTGCCTTCTCAATTCAGTTTAAGATAGCACAGAGATGACAATCCATGGGTTTGGCCCTTGAACGCTTCAGTTAGAGCTGCTAGAGAACACTGTCTGCAGGGAGAGAGGGTGTTTATTTCCCCCAGTTAGTAATAATATCATTAGCTGTTCTTTGTTAGCGCAGGAGCATCACAAATCTCCTCATACTGTGATGTTTGCTGTGGGTGAGGATTTGGTTGCTGAACTCAGTAGGGATGGTCTTTTTTAATGGTCTTTTGCTGGTCTAAACTGGGCTGAGGTGGACTAATGTTTGTCAAGGCTGCATGGCAACTTCCACGTTCTGTATTTTGAATTGGCAGCACCAGGGTGCAAACCCAATGCCGCGACTCCCAGCCACCTCTGATCCTACCAGTCTGTACACCAGAGGCCGCAACGGTTGATCCCAGTATAATCACGCATCATGCAGCTAAACAGACTGGTGTTGTAGTTGACAGTCACAATGAAACATCAGTTCGAGCATGGTTAGCTTCTGTATTTTGATGCATTTCCACAATTCACGTCACGGTCACGCTGGCGTAGCTTGTAGGTTTTTAGCATGTTTCCAGTACACAGCAGAGCTATCACCTAAGTTGATGAAAAGATGGCAGCCATCAATAGCTGGTTTCAGCTTTATGTAGCAGAACTGGTGATCTCTGTTCCTCTGTTTCTGGTTTTGCATCAGCTAAGGGAAATGTTTTGTATGCTTGCTATGTTGTGGGTCGATTTGGGTTCTAGAGAACAACATGTGAGAATGATGACCGTAACATACAAGCTTTCCGAAAATATATAGCATAAAAATATATATAATAGCACATCAGCACCATTGTAATGGGTCCAAACCCCACATGGACCACAACCTATTTTTGGAGCGTGTGTGCTTTAAAGTTGTTTAGGATTTCAGTCACTCCGCTGTCAGAGACACCACACATACTTCGTCTGCAGCTCTGAGAGACAGCACTAGGAGGTTTAGGTTTTAAACCCACTGGGAAAATAGACCAAAAATATACATTTTAACTGTCAGTCTCCATGCCCATGGGTATGTTTGGGTGTGTGTGTGCGTGTGTGTGTTTGATTGTGTAATGCACTATATAGTCTGTGGTTACTATAAAAACTCTCCATTAGTGTTTGTGCTGGTTTAAAATGAGAGGAGGCTGCCAGTCATTCATAACAAACACACACATTGAGATACACTTTTCAATCAGGTCTTTGGTTTTGTGAACTATGGAAACACACACACACACACACACACACACACTCACTTAGTGCTATGGTTTTCATTGCTCTGGATATAAATGTTTGAGGCCAAATTATGATGGAACACTGCTGCTCAATCGTTTAGTGGTCACACACACACACACACACACACACACACACACACACACACACACACACACACACACACATTCCTTTCCTCTTTCTCCCTCTGTTATTTTTATCCTTTTTCCTTGTTCCTTTGCTATGAAAATGTTTAATAGATTTACATTGTACTTAACTGCATCACTAACATGAGCTCTTTTCCTTTGTGTTTCTTGCAGAAAAATATTAAACAAAAGTGCAGGACTCGATGTGAATTTGATAAATCAGAGCCTACACTTGCAGGTGAGTCCATGTACCCTCATTTGGTGTTTGCTGCCATCTGCTGGCACAGTATTGTTTAACATGTGGTGTTTGAGAGGATTTCTCTACTTTATCCCTCATGTCCACTTTAATCTTTAGCTCAGTGAATACATTTACTGATGAAATAAGAGTGCTGATAGTTTTACCCACCATCCATTAGATGGCAAACTCATTCTAAAACATATGGTTTGGCCGTGGGCAAATCTGCAGAATCGTCACTGGGCTGAATGCCATAAAAAGTAATTTGAGAACATGAAGGAGCAGTCTGGGTAAAACAACAACTGACGTCACTTTCACTACTCAGTGAACAGTGCTTGCTTTTTCACTTATCCTCTAGGTAATTTGATGGAAGTATCTGACAGTGTATTTCAATCATACTTCACATAGATGGTTTCAATATTTTCAGACTATTTCAAATCTCACTTCTGTTGTGTTTGTGTATGTGTAGAGTTGAGAGAGCTAAGAGGAGCTATACAAATGGACTTGGAGCTTTACCCCTCTTCATTTGCCGCTTCACCCCCAGCCTCGCCTCCTCTCCCTGTGAAGGAATTGAAAAACAGGTTCAGGTTTGTATGTTTTGTCACTGCTACAACCCCCCAAAGGCTGTATTTCATAATAATAACTTTTATTTGTCTAGCACTTTTTTTTACAGTAAAAAAATATAATCAAATAAATGACATAAAAAGAGCTAAATAAGATGAGATAAATAAATATGATATTGTTCAGGAGACATAAAATATAAGTCAGTGAAAAGCCAGTTGATGTTTCAAGGAAAATACAGAAGTAGCTGTTGGATTGCAAACGGCAATTCATTCCATAGTTGAGGTGCCATGACAGCAAATGCATGGTGACCCACGTGCATTTAGACGCACGATTGCAAATGTAGACTTAGGAACTGTGAGAAGAGCTTTTTCAGCTGACCTAGGTGTCAGCGTTTGTATATATGGGCTCTGCTGGTCAGAGATATACTTTGGAGCTAATCCACTCTGTAAGTGAGTAACAGAATCGTGACCTGTATTTAGGAAGCAATAGGATGCTAGTGAAGAGATACTAAAAACGTGGTAAGCAAACAACTGCACATGTAGTTCACCTATTTCCTTAGTGCAGAATATACTATTACTATAGTAATACGAAGAAATAAAGTAATGAATAACTTTCTCCAAGTCAGCGTCAGACAGAAATTGTTTGATTTTATTGATGTTTCTCACCTCATAAAATCAGGACTGAATAGCCCCTTCTACTTGCTTTTCAAAGTTCATATCTTTTGAGAGGGCAATACCATTATTCACAGACATGGAGTAGCAGAAAAATAATTTGATGATTTCTTTTAAATGAATATGATCCCAAAATGAATTCAAATGAAATAAAAGGGGAATGACAGAGCTGTCAAACTTGACAAAAGAAAGGGAAGCCACCCAGGCCAAGCTCACAACAGAAACAAACCCTTGAAAACATTCATCACCCTAAACAAACAAAAATCTCTCTCTAAAAAAAAAAAGAGCAACTTAGATTTCTACTACTGCTTAGGCCAGGGGTGGGAGCCTCACAAGCTACACCTGAAGGAGAACAGCACAAAACAGACATTAGAATTCAAAGGGATGCATTATGACATTTTGACCAGCAGGGGGAGTGCGCTTTAACCGCACAGTTGATACCTCAAGTAGCTGCTTCTGTTCTCAGATTCTCATTCTGATTCCTCTCTTCCAGACTGTCAGCAGGTCAAAAGGCTTCAGATGAGACTCTGCAAGGTTTAAATGCTACGTCAGTCCTAAGACCACATCCACCTCCTCCTCTGTGCCGTCCTAAACCCAGGCCACCAGTTGGACCTTCTCTCACTAAGACCTCTGCATTCGTTAAACCAGTTCATTCTTCCTCACTGTCAAGGACTCTTGGTCAGCATAGAAGAACATTAGCCTCCAATAAATCAAGCGAAATACCTTTCTGCAGCAAGATCACCACTTCAGGGAATGTGAGCAGCCACTTCACCACTGACCAGATAATAGTTAAGAGCGAATACCTCTGCAGTCTTTCCCCAGAACAAGATAGTGTTGGTCTCCACTGCAGGCCCCCAACATCTAATGCTAGTTTCCAAATAAAAACTCAAAGAGACTCACCCATCCATGAAGCCCATCTATCATCCCATCGCAGTATTAACAGCCCGAGCAGAGAATATGATTTGTTACCACAGAGGGAGAGAGAAAGCAGCTCTGTCTGGAGGTCAGAAAACGTCAATATTACCCCCTCAACCATTCCAACAACTGGGAAATCAAAGACACTAAATGGGCAAAAGAAAACTACCTGTGGAGGTGTTTCAGTGTTAGTAACAGTGCAGGCAGATAATGACAGAAGAAGGAGTACTTCTGAGAGCTTTCATTCTTCAGTCATGCCTGAAACTGGGAGTCATCCTGCAAAAAATGGTGACAGGAAGAGCAACAGTCAAATTGATATAAATAAAAATGATCATCTTGGGAAGGATGTCACCCAACAACAAAGCCTTAGTAGCCACTGTTTGACAGATCACTTCTCAAATCATTCAGGAAGTAGTAGTGGACAGGGACAAGCTAATTGTAATTCCCCCAAAAGACCACTTCCGGGCACCATGAGTCAGCCAGAAAGTATCCAAGAAGCAAAGACGGAGCAAGACTTTATCAACAATTTTTACCAGCCAGTACCTCCTGCAAGAGTGTCAACGTGAAGTCAGCCTCAGACCAAATAAAAAGTGTTTGACATTGTCTTTTATAGATATAAATTTGGGAGCATGATGAATTGATGTTGAGTTGCATAGATTTTTTCACTCAGTGTGTGGGAGGAAAAGAAATTGTATAATTTCACAGCTGTGCCTGGTCCTTGCAGAGTTTTTCCATTGAGCATTAATTGAAAAACCTGAATTCTGAATTTCCAATAGACAAGGGCAGTAATTTGAGTGCATAGAATTGTGCAGTGTCTAAATATTTGATTGAAAAATGTGTTTTTAAGACAGGTAATGGTGCAAAATACTGTTAACTTTTCACAGTAGACATTTTGACATGATCTAGCCAAAAACCATGTTCAACTAACTTTATTTATATTCAGCTTTACTAGTTTCAGGACTCTGTTGCTGTCTGTTCAAAACCTCTGCTATGAAAAAGATCTACACCAGGAACTTGACTGAAAGCAGTTTTTATTTACACCTGTTCTTTTCCTACTATGACATGTCCAAATGACTTCTGTAAACTGGGCCTACTAGTGTCAATGCTTAATCAGAGGCAATGTTACTGAAAATGTTGGCATATCATGGAAATAATACTAAATCTTACCAGGGATATAAATATGTGAAATTTGGTGCAATAAATAAAAAATATTAATTAATTCAATTTAAAAAATAAAGACCATTGGGATTGGTAGTTTTGCATGACAGAGGAACACCTTCATTGCCTTGCAGAGAGACTTCACCTTCTTTCTAAATCAAGTCATTATTTTATTTGGGGATTAGTGAATAGAAATAAAAATGGGTCTAGTGAAAACGCTTCAGACAACAGTCTGAAGAAGATCAAAAATGCTAAACTGCAACTGCTTCACAAAGTTCTATCAGCCGTTCAGGGCTTATAATCAGTTTTGTTGACACACCCCCTTTCAGATGGTTTACAACTGAATTTTACGCATAATATTCATGTATCCTGTTTTACACCAAATTCAAATTGGAATCAAAACAACAATCTGATGCAGCATTAACTAAGAAGACGGGCTTTTATTTTGAAGTGGCTGTAGAAATTAATGACGTACCTACAGCATTTTCGATTAAATTGGAACGTGGCCTTCTTGGGAAATTATCAGGAAAGGGAGCGGCAGAGATTGACTTTCTTATCTGCTTAACTAAGGTAAGAACAGGAATGAAGTCCCGCGAGTAACTTGATAGTTGCCATACTTTTCAACCGAAACAGTATTAGTGGAGCTTTTGGTATGCATTGACAGAGAGCCAGAGGATCAACAACAACTTTCACTAATACGCTGCGCCACCAGGTGGTCCAATTAGTTTTCCGCCATCTTTGGTCAGGTCAGGCGTTTCCAGCTGTAATACCCTTCTTGTTAAAATCGTAGCAAGTTTTGTTCAGCAAAGTCATTTATTAAGCATCCACCATTACTTTAAAAATGAAAGTAACATTTTAAAATAATAATATACATAGCTGACCAAGGCTTGTTTTAGCTCTGCAAGCTAACTCAGTTCACGAAGCTACTGATAGTTTTTAAGCTAATTCTGGGCTAACACACAGGTTCTGTACTCTGTCAGCTATAATGCTACTCGGCCGTTAATATACAGGCTGTGTATGTAGCCGGTGTAACAGACAGTGGCCAGCAGTGAGCAGGTTGCAGATGCTAGCTTCATTAAGGAGGAGAGATTGTCTGTAAGAGAAGGGGGGTTTCTCTCTTCCAGGCTAATGGGGGCTTGAGGGAACAGTTCATGAAGCCCGCTTCTCCTCGCTCTCCCCATACCTGACAGGTAAGTGAGACAGGTAAGGCAGAAACTTGGCGTGTAGCCCATTTCCTTTCACCTACTTCACACTACATTTATGTTAACACAGTCGCCAACATACAGACTGTAGCCAGTGTAACGGTGGAGACCAGGGATGGGTACCGAGCCCCGGTATTGAACAAGCCCCGGGGCTACATTATTCAAGACCGCAGTATCAATAAGCTCCGACCTTAACGGTTCTGCTATCAGTACTGGAGCAGTCGGGGTTTTTTTGTTTTGTTTTGTTTTCTCCGCTAGATAAACGTTATCTTGAACAGTCATTTCACCAGCTCCGTCAAATATCCTTCTATGTATGTATATTTTCGGTATTCTCAACAGAGATCTGTCTCTCTCTCTGCCCCTGCTATTTGTGTCAGCGGAGGGCAGGGGGGCGGGGCTGTTGTTCCAGTGACACATACACCAGACAGTGCAGCGCACACACCAACTCAAGCTCGTAGCCTACCTTTAGATAGATAAGTATGGCGGAGAGAACCAAACAGTCCAAAGTGGCTCTACTTTACTAGAGTAGATGCAAACACAGCCCGTTGTCACAAGTGTGACAAATGTTATGTTTGTTCAAGTTTTTTTTCTTCCTCAAAAAGTGTCGCTAAGAATACCATTTAAGTACCAGATCAATAAGCAGTATTGGTAGGAATAGTAGTACCGTTAAAATCTTAAGGATACCCATCCCTAGTAGAGACAAAGAGAGCTCTTGCACTGCACAGATATCAGATGCAGGCTTCATTTGGGAGGAGAGGCACCCTTTCAGAGAGGGGTCACTTTTCTCTCAGCCAGGCTAAAGCAGAAAAGAAGTGTCTGAAGCCCGCTCCTCACCGCCTGCCCCACACCACAGCAATGCTGACTCACTGAGACAAGAGAGGCAGTAATGCTGCTGATAAATGCCTGTAGTCTCTTCCCCCTTATCTGCTTCACACAGCGATTATGCAAACTCTAATAAAGAGGCTAATATACAGGCTGTGTATGTTGCTGGTGTATTAGTTGTGAAGAAGATAACTTCTATTTCACAGGTGTCATTCAGGCTTCTGTAGGGAGGAGAGGCGCCCTTTCAGAGCTGGGATGCTTCTCTTTCATCTCAGCCTATGTGGAGTGGATGGGAGCCGTTCCTCCTATGGTGGGTGAGACAACAGAAATAAAAGGGCAGGAACGTGCATGTAGCACTGGTGATTGAGGGTGGGAGATTGAGAGAGCTGAACCTGCCAGCTATGGTGATCTCCACAATCTGGAATGCCCAGGCCCAGGACACGGTGGCATGTATCTGCTGACTGATGTGCATATAGGGCCATCAATCTGTGTTTGTGCCCGCTGCAGGGCATCCTTGAGTTTCTGCAAGATAAGGGATGCGCTGCATGGCCTTGGGGTGTTAGCTGCAGCACTTATGACTGGCCTTTATGATTATGGCCACTTCTCAAGTAGGAGCTATCAATTGATCAAGAGCTTCCTGCAAATTGTCTGCAGGGCGTGGCCCATTGCTTGTCATCTTGTTCCCCAGTGGGTCCTGCAGACAGTGTTAGATGATCTCCTTCGGTCACTTCGGTGGGTGGTACCAGAGCAGGGGGGATTATACTAATTTTTCTTTTTTTTCTCACCCAATGAGTTGCTAGCCTTTTGGGGTCAGGACTGGGGTCCAATTGAGAGCGTGTCAATCCAGCCTTCACCTTTGTTGTTAACCAATAACGATGCCTGTTTGAGGGCTTTGCACATACGAAATAGTAATTAATGGATGTAACTCCGGTTTGAGTAGTGCATAACCCCCTAACTGCAAGCCCAGCTGGCCCCTTTTTGGTATACGTTGCTTAGTTGCAAAGAGAGATGAGCAGTGTGTGAGCTGGGGTTTAATAGGGAACTACGTGGGATGGTCACAACCCCCTGATTGGGCAGTGAATGCAATCTTGTTATCTTGTTAATATCACAAAACTTTTTTACAGTTTTTACACTTTGGGTTTTGTATGGATTAAACAAATAAGAGATACAGCTTCTAATGTTGATTTGTGAAATAACCAATATAATTTGATTTCATTTGTAACACTGTCAACTTGTAGATATTTTCAGAAAACATTACCCTGCATGACTAGGTAACTATCATATTGAACAGGAAGCCATATAAAAACTAATTTGTCCTGAAAGTGATAGTTCAGGTTATTTGATCTGGAGTTGTGTCATAGTGTATAACCCTTGTGTACTACCCTGAGCAACGTGCTGCTGTGGTAAGGGTACACATAAATTAATATGATATGGTGCTCTATATCAAGTGGCTAAAACACATTTTTGCAGATGGTCCCATCTGTAGTAGCACAGTGCTTATCTTCTGTGCCGGTGCTCCCGGATGCTTCTTCAAGCTGGGAGCACACTGATCTGAATCTACTGCAGGTAATACACTGACTATAGATAAGTACCTTACACAACCCCACGCCAAATACCCCAAACTAGGGCTGGGACGATTATCCGACGTAATCAACGTTGTCGATTATAAAAATTATTCGACGTTGAATTTTAGTGTCGACGCGTCGTGTAAAACCACACAGGGTAAATGTTCATAGAACAAAACCGGAACTTTCTAATAGGACCGTTTATATCCATCGTCTTTGGTTTACCTGGATACAAGCGCAGCGCAAGGGCTGGGACAACGCGGTGACGTAATTGAAGTCATTGACTACGTGAATGATTTGCGTCTGTGTAATCTATTTGAACAACATGGCAGCGTCTACCAGCAGTACGACGGAGCGTGTGGAGCAAGACGTGGCAAAAAAGGCTCGCACACGGTCCTCCAAAGTTTGGGAATACTTTAATCTTGATACCAACAGTGCGGTAGTCTGCAGACTCTGCAAAGTGCATCTGGCATATCACTCTAGCACGACAGTCATGCACGAGCACATAAAGAGGAAAATAATAATATAAATAATAAATAAATATAAATAATAATAAAAAAAAATAATCGTTAGATTAGTCGAATAATCGAAAAAATAATCGCTAGATTAATCATTTAAAGAATAATCGTTTGGGACAGCCCTACCCCAAACTATCACTTGAAGGCACTGTGGCCATGCTGACCATGATTTCTAAATACACAATGTTGGAATGATTCCTCCTTACAGTTTTGGTCTCTATTCTGTTTAGTTTCATTTTCATAGGTTTCATTTACTCTCTAAAGCAACAAGACAGCGAGAACAGTAACTGAGCAATCCCTGGTGATTGGAGGCTTCAGGGTTCAGCAGGCTCTGATTGGAGGCTTCAGGGTGCAGCAGATGAAACCTGAGAAGCTGTGATCACCAAACTTGTATTTTCTGTCGGAGTTTGTAGGAAATGGCAGCAGCAACTATTTCTTTTGAACAAGACCAATTTTGTTGTTCAGTTTGCCTGGAGATTTTGAGAGATCCGGTCACAATCCCCTGTGGACACAGTTATTGTTTCGACTGTATTGAAGACCACTGGAACCGGACCAAGCAGAAAGACCAGTACAGCTGTCCTCAATGCAGGAAGGTGTTTAATCCAAGACCTCTGCTGAGTAGAAACACAGTTTTGGGTGAAGTAGTGGAAAAGTTTCAGCAAACAGGATTTCAGGCTGCAGCTCAGCACTTGGCGAAACCTGAGGAAGTGAAATGCAGTGCTTGTACGGGGAGAAAGAGCAAAGCTGTCAAATCCTGTCTTGTGTGCTTGGAGTCTTACTGTGTGGCTCACTTAAGAGTCCACGAAGAACGCTTTCATGGAAAGGTCCATAAACTGATCCCACCTTCAGATCAGCTTAGAGAGAAGCGCTCCCACAGTGTGAAAGAGAGACACAAGGGCCATGACGCAGTCTCAGATGAGAGGACAACACAACAGGTGTGTTTGAACATTTCTTAAGATGCAGAAATGAATCCTTTATCTATTCAGTTAAATTTTGGGAAGTTCAAACATGTTTACGAACAGCTTGATTTACTGTTGGATAAATGAACTAACAACAATCAAGATCTGAATTTACTTTTTATTCTAGTACTTTTAATTGATGTACATAACACATTATGTAGGTTTGTGCACCAAAATTCAGACAGAGGATTATACTGAAACCATGTATTTAATGTAAATAGGGAGTTCCTCCTGATTTTTACAGTTTAATTTTCATAGGTTTAATTTTCTCTCTCCAGCAACGAGAACGAGCAGAAACTGACACATAGACAACAGACAATCCTTTGTAACATAGACGTTTTTTTCCAAACTGTGATCCTATGCTGCATACCATGAGATCATCATGCTAGAGGACTGCAGCTGAAAATGAGCCGACAGGCTAAGGGTTAATTGTGTGTTGTTCAGTCATGTACTCCTTCCACATCGCATGTCACTGGTAAGATAGTGTCAGAAACCCCCTACCCCTATACCCTATATCTTTTATAAAGTGCTGCAGGAATGAGTCCTAAAACCCAGAAAAAAGTTTGTATTTTTCACCTCCAGTTCCCTCATTCTGAAGTCGATGGGTTTTTTTGAACAGTTTTTTGGAAGGATGCCTGAAATAGGGTCTGTGGTTAACACAAGCTTTTCATGTGTTTTATTCTTCACGCTTTATTATACAACACAAAATATGTCAGTAAATACCCCACTTGTGATTTTTTTTTAAGCTTCCTAAGTGGATAACTGAGACTACAGAGGTTGTGTGGGAGACATTAAACGTCACCATGCCAAACATGAAAACCTCAGCAGTCCGTCTTTACAGCCTTGTTGTGTTTATATTCACACTCGTGAAAACTATTACTAACTTTCCAAGATGAAAGGCTTTTGCAGAAGAGGTGAGAATGCTAAATCAAACTACTAGTTGGAAGGTAAGTCGTGGTGACACTGAAGTCATGTCCCATGGTGTAGTTCATTTATAGCCTAATGAGAGAGAACTTGTTACATCTGTGTTATGGGTAGTGACCATGAACATTGTAGGATAAGACTGTACTGGAAGACCAAACGGTATTCCTTGTGTTTTCATTTAAATAATGTGTGAATTCTTCTCACTGTGAATACTAGTGTTATCTTAAGTTTCTAATGAGGACATCAATGTATATAGAATTGAATCTGTCACAGTTTCTCTGCTATTCACTGTAACATATGTTTTTGGTATTTGGCATATTGTCATTTGTCATAATATTCAAAAGAATAGAGAGTGACGGCAAATAAAATCTCCTGATTTCTGTTTAGATGGGCACAATATACAACCTACTTGAGCAGCACAGGCTGGAGTCCTACTACAATCAGTTTCTTCAGTTGGGTGTTAAAGATGAAAGAGATTTCCTGGATGGTGTGACAGTTGAAGATCTAAACAACTTAGGTAAGAGTGCTGAACATGGATGAATGTCAACACCCTTCCAAAGGTATGCTTAGATTTTCAGTTTTTTTCAGTTAATTGCTTGAAAAATGAAAACTTTATTCACAATATTGTGCAAGTGTGAAGAGAATTTATAAATTTACCTTTTTTAGAAGTGAACTGTAGCTTCCTAGAACTCTTGAATAATTACTTGTCTGACTTGAACTTAAAAGTTACACTAAAGATTAATGTCACCACCTAATGGAATGGAATGGAAGATACAATAAAATTACACCAAGTTACCAGTAAGATGAAAACTTATGCACATCACTGCAATTTAATGCAGCATTCATGTAATAAATATATTTGTAAAATGTTTTAACTGTTTGTAATTGTTGACAGTGTTAGAAGTGATACAGTTTTTAAATTTGGATTCTTTAGTTTGTGGCATAATTGTATTATAAGAAAGGATGAAAAACACATTATTGGAAATGTAAAAATGAGCAGCCATAAGGACAGTCAAGTGGCTGTGCATGATGAAATTCAAGTTATCACACTGATAATAAGATGTAAGACATATTGAAATATATTGTCTCTGCATTTTTAAAGGTTTAAGTCATGTGGAAAAGAACCGTTTTTCAGCTATGAAAAACTTCATTCAGAGACTCAGAGTTCCAGAGCATCACGTTCAAACTGTTAAATCTCTGCAAAAATCAATGGAGGTGTTCTCTCTGCAGTACACATACCCCAAATGTCCTCAACCAAAACTTATTAAAGGTAAGAGGAAAGCATCTTATAATGCATTTTTTAACATTTATATCATTAGTTCAGTTCATTCTACTGACTTGTTTACAGTGTACAGCATGAGGGGAGTTTACCTTCAAATGTTGAGTGACTGTGAACAGAGAAATACTTAAGACTGGTGCCAAACCGTGTCCTGAAATATTACACCCTTTGCATAATAGTAGTTCAAATGAGATTTGAAATGGTTTATGAAATTTTGAACTTACAGATATCGATCCAGCGCAAAACACAATCGAAGACCTGATGTTAAGGATCTGTTATCTTGAAAATGTTGGCAGCACCAAAGGAGTCTGTCTCTACACAATTGATGGGATGCCCTTGACAGATGATCCCTTCTTCAACACATGTGAGCAGACTTTTTACAGTTAAGGTTGCTAGATGAAATGGTATTATAGCTTAAGTACATTAGAGCAGTTGAAAAACGTACCTGTGTGTATATACAGTATATATATGTTATTCATGATCAAACAAGTAAGACTATAGCGCAGATCACAGAAAAATCAGCGCAGGCACTAACCAATCAAATCATGTTTATGTAGGTCCAGCCTGGCATTCAGCATCAAAATGGAGAAGATGTTGATTATTGTGGTGGATAATCACCCTGTTCTCTGTGATCAGATTATTTACACACTGGGACACAAACCGGAGAAATCAAGAATATAGAGAGTTGACATGGGCTGTTTGGTGTCTGGTTATAGTTTATTTACCAAGTAATTCCATGTATCTTTCAAGAAGAAATAAGAGCTGTTAATGTTTGTTTAAAAAAAAACAAGTTTGATGCTTTCATTGTGGAAATATAAGGGTCTAAAATCTTTTTTTTAACCTTTATTTGACTGTTTTGAGTGTTTTGACCATGTGTGGCATTACTGCATATTGTGGTATTTAAGGGTGCACTTTACACTCAGTTCCCAGTTTATTAGTACACCTAACAATAACTAATACAACAGTCCTGTAACAGCCTATTTTCATGAAGGTTGTAATGATCATTTGATTGTTGAAACTGTTATGCATTTTCACTGTCGTTCATCCCTTGTGGCATTGGCATTACTTTTTATTACAAGCTTATAATTCAAACATGCTAAGATTGTAGGGGTAACTCCTGAAGGGGTAACCTTCAGCACTAAATATGCTTCACTCATTCACAATGCCTTACCTGTTTCTACCGTGGCACAGTTTACGTCACACCAACTGTTAACTGACTTTGGGGAACCAATCCCCTTTGTAACTTCAAGAGAGGGGTTGGTTTTCCCAGATGAAACGACCTTGAATGTAGAAAACAATTTTTGTTTGAAATAAGAAGTTTGATTTTACTTCAGTGGGACAAAATGTAATGCAGTTTTTAATTTTTATTGGCTCTTCATACAGGGTCTTTGAAAGACAGGCACATTCAAAGTGGAGCTGTGATCTATGCCATATTTACACGAAAGGAAAACCTGGAATATGCCCCTCAAATGCCAAAGCAAGAGTTTGGTAAAACCTTTGGAGAGGACACCATTCGATGCCACATCATGCTCAAGGTACGTCTTAACTATAAGGGTTGTGATTCAAGTAATGATATTAACACCTGATACCAGCAGTTCTTACTTCCAATATAATAACCCATTTAAGAAGACATTGCCCCCAGTGTGTCCGGTGATGGTGCAAGAGGATTGGGCAGGAAAGGGCAACTCCTTCCCCCTGCAGCAGTTAAACAGACTCTCCATGAGATACAGACTGGGCAAAATCCATAACTAAAGCATTGGGGGTGTTTTATATCAGGAAATATGCAGCCCTGTGTGTTCGATTTATTGTGCACTTGATGCTGATGGCCTTATTCTACAATGTCTTACAAAAAAATGACAGCTTGATTTTTTTGTTTGCACTTATTATTTTAATGAAGATTTGACAAGTGTTGCCAGAATTTTGTTAAGGCAAAATGTTGTCAACTCTTGTTGTAAATGGCCCCATTGCCTTATTTTGTTAACATGTACAGTATATAAAAGTTAAATCTCTATTGCATGTTTGATTCACTTTAGGGAGACTTCGACCTGATGGTGAACTTACAAACCGACACTTTAACCAGTCTGAGGCTCAAGTTGGCAAATGAAAGTGGAATCCCAGCACATGTCCTTCAGTACAAGTAATTCAGTACAAGTAATTCAGAATTACCACAATGATACACATGGATTTTGTGGCTTGTGACCCTGTTTGTCAACACATCTTTTCTCATGTAGTATTTAGTACCGGAGCAGTACCCCTGTTGTTTGGTGTTCTTATTATATTTGCAGAGGACAACGCTATCGCGGTGACACACTACAAAGCTGTGGAATCTCTGGGGGGTCAACAGTTGCCTTCTCTTTATCCACGTTTTGTGATGAGGATCCATACAGTGAGACTTTCTTCATTAATGACGTTGTGCCGTCAGTCCAACAGACCCAGAAAGGAATCAGTGTGTTCCTATCCTCACTTTATGCTGTTGTAAGCAGTGTTTATAATATATTGTTCCCATTATCTTGCTATCTCATTTACTTTATTATCTATATTGCACTACCCAATGTTTTCCTTTACTTACCAGTCATTTTTTTGCACTTGACAAGCCATTTTCCATCTTTTTTGCCTTTCTTTGAAAAGTAAGTCTGGTGATATTCTTTATTTTCTTATTGTCAACCAAGTTCGTGACAGCTCCAAAACAAACAATAAGTTGATCTTCTAGCAAGTATTTTCTGTGTACTCAAAGAGTGATACAGCTTTTTCTTCTGGGCAGTAGAGCTCCATTGTTCAGAAACCTTTAAAGTGAGCCACACTGTTCCACTGGGTGTTCTGTCACGATCATGAACATGGCCACACAGTTAATTCCGAATCAGTTTTCTCATACAGCATCCTGCCGATCGTTCGATCTGCACTGTATGAGTATCGTTTGCTTAAAACAACAATGCCTGGCTGTTTTAAACTTAAGTTTTAGAATAATTGTATATTCAAGTGCTGTTAAGATTTTACATCTTCAATAGGAACAAATGGACTTGGGGCTGAGGGTAGAGACGTACGAGTATTGAGAGACAAACTAATACATTTGTTGATTTTGGTCTTTTCATAGCATTTGTTGACAGTAACAAAGTACAGAATACTGCCAACTTGATTTCACTTTCCCCTTTCCTGTCTTTAGATTAATTCAGTAAAGATTTATTTGAGGAGGAGTTATAACCCAAAACTTGTGATTTTAATTTTGCCAGTGTCTACTATGTTTGTAGTGGTGGAAATTCCAAGGTTTCTGTATCATATTTTCAGACATCAGTATTTTAAGTGTATAATCTTAGCTTTGTCACACGCCACACCTTCTACAACAAATATGAAGCAGATAGCTGCAATGGAGACATCACAACCACCTTAGCAGTGAAGCAAAATTCTGTTGAATGTTATGCAGTAATAAAAAAAATTTTTAAAAAATGCTTTAGTTAAACTAATTATATGCTCTTAATGTATTTGACAGTTATATTATCTTGAGTAATTGGAATACATCTTTTCAACTCTATTACTATTACCCACATGAGTAAATGATTCAATCACTGGGCCTCCAGGTAAAATCTATTCTGTTAGTCAAATATTTCTCTCCCTATAGACACTGTGCATTTCTTTTTTGTGCCTTTTTATTTACAGTTTGACTATATCCTGTTTTCTTTCTGAAGCTATTTGTGTTTAAATGTAACTTGCATCTACCATGATAATCAACTCAGGAAGATTTTTCACTCTGCCCTTTCTTGAAATTAATTAAAACCAATCTGAAAAGATGTTGAATCTATGAATAAATTTGGTATATTTTTTTACTTTCCCTTCTCCAGTGGTATTAACCTTGTTTTAAAAGCATTCTCTTTATCTTTTAGAAAAAGCACCATTCCAACATAAAACAAAATAAATTGATTGCCTCCGTAAGAAAACTGACTGGATGTAACCCTCTGGCCCAAAGTTTGCACCAGTTACTCTGCAGGAATGAAAAGATGACAAGGATCCAGAAGGTAAACAATATGATGTAATACAATACTCTGTACTTTGTACTGAGTATACCAAGTTACTGCACTACAATTTGACTCCATGCATTATGCTGTCTTCAACAACATGGACACAACTCCTTTTTAAGTTTATGTTTAAACCCACCGTGTCATTGTACTCATGCTAGTTAAGTCAGTTAATGAGAAAATGTTTTCTGTAATTGGAGTGATATAACCTTTCACAAGTGCCAATTTCTCCATGTCTGCTTGTTACGTTGCTGTAGATTGCAGTTTTTGAAGGCTTGTACATGCTCTTCAGAGAGCTTTTGCCCCAACATGGATCTGAACGAGGGGAAAAAGTCATCAAGGACCTGGATGTCTTTGAGAATTCATTGTACTGCTGGGCATATCTTCTTTCAAAAGCAAAGGTATGATGATACTGGGGTTTGACTGAAATGGGCTTTTGAAGTCACTAATTGCTAAAGTTTTTAAATTTTGTGTGTATACCTTATAACACCTTTGTGAATGTAGAGATAAATTTGAATTTATTTGTAAATTTGTCCTACATTTCCAGTTATTTGTTGATTTTTGAAATGATCACTTCTGAATTTTCTTATTTTGACAGAAACAGGCATCAGCCCATGAGAACTACGCACTTATCACTCTTACATCTGAAGATAACAGCCGTTTCTGTGAACCAGTTAGAGTACCTGGAGTGCCAGGTACCTTTGAACGAGCGTATGTTCTCCAGAAAATCAAAGGTAAAACTAAAACAAGTTTTTATGTGAATGAGAAGATGCATCATACTAGATTTCTGAGAAGAGGCAAGAGGCTAATTACAAAATGCTCAGAGTAAAAATACCAAGTCTTGAAATATTTGTTTCTTAATATGTCTTGACCTTTGGTCTGACCACACATGTTTCATTTTTAACCATGATCACAAGTGTTTCCAGTGTGCCCTCAACCAAGATTTCTTGGTTGTACATGGAATTTTGTTGTAGGAAACTGAGGGAACTTTATTTTTTAAAGTCTGATGATGAAACTTTTTTTTTAAGAAGAGATGTTTTAAAAGCATTCTCTTTATCTTTTAGAAAAAGCACCATTCCAAATAAAACAAAATAAATTGATTGCCTCCGTAAGAAAACTGACTGGATGTAACCCTTGGCCCAAAGTTTGCACCAGTTACTCTGCAGGAATGAAAAGATGACAAGGATCCAGAAGGTAAACAATATGATGTAATACAATACTCTGTACTTTGTACTGAGTATACCAAGTTACTGCACTACAATTTGACTCCATGCATTATGCTGTCTTCAACAACATGGACACAACTCCTTTTTAAGTTTATGTTTAAACCCACCGTGTCATTGTACTCATGCTAGTTAAGTCAGTTAATGAGAAAATGTTTTCTGTAATTGGAGTGATATAACCTTTCACAAGTGCCAATTTCTCCATGTCTGCTTGTTACGTTGCTGTAGATTGCAGTTTTTGAAGGCTTGTACATGCTCTTCAGAGAGCTTTTGCCCCAACATGGATCTGAACGAGGGGAAAAAGTCATCAAGGACCTGGATGTCTTTGAGAATTCATTGTACTGCTGGGCATATCTTCTTTCAAAAGCAAAGGTATGATGATACTGGGTTTGACTGAAATGGGCTTTTGAAGTCACTAATTGCTAAAGTTTTTAAATTTTGTGTGTATACCTTTATAACACCTTTTGTGAATGTAGAGATAATATTGAATTTATTTGTAAATTTGTCCTACATTTCCAGTTATTTGTTGATTTTTGAAATGATCACTTCTGAATTTTCTTATTTTGACAGAAACAGGCATCACCCCATGAGAACTACGCACTTATCACTCTTACATCTGAAGATAACAGCCGTTTCTGTGAACCAGTTAGAGTACCTGGAGTGCCAGGTACCTTTGAACGAGCGTATGTTCTCCAGAAAATCAAAGGTAAACTAAAACAAGTTTTATATGTGAATGAGAAGATGCATCATACTAGATTTCTGAGAAGAGGCAAGAGGCTAATTACAAAATGCTCAGAGTAAAAATACCAAGTCTTGAAATATTTGTTTCTTAATATGTCTTGACCTTTGGTCTGACCA